ATCGTGTATAGTATATACGCTAATATGAAAGTTAACGCATGTGTTTATGTATATTTATGAATGTTTGTGTTTATGTACTGTATTGTAGATGTGCATGTGCGCGCTAGTGTATGCATTAGATGTGCAACTATTCATCTCCCCCACCACCACGTTTCGAAGAATAGTGGAATTCAAGACGAGAATCGATTATTTTAAATGGAGAATTCATTACTGGCTGCAGGATTCAACATAAATCAATCGAAACGCACCAATGCTTGCACATGTAGCACACGCTTATGAGTCAATATTAAGGAATCGATCCACCATTACATCTCTTAGGATTTATGTACACGTGTCACGTATGCACATGTAAGTACATGTTCACGTTTGTAATTTTATACGAGTATGTATTTATTGTACCGTATGTTGTATACATGAAGCACAGTGCATATTGATTGCCGCGTATATAGAGGCGGAAGAGAAATTAGGGTGGTGGTTGGCTGAGAGTGGAATAATGCACATTGATTGCAGTCATTACTATTCACAGGCACTCTGAAGATTATGCCTAAGGAGTGGCATGCAAGTCTGATGTATATATGCAGAACTTCTTTAGTACTGCACGAGCCAACCGTGCTAATCGGAAGGATGTGGGAGATGCCACAAAATGACAATGCAGTCCCGACTTGTAAAGTCAAAATGAGCTCATTTATGTGGGCAAAACATTTCAAGATGGCCTGCTTGTTTTTATGTACAACTATGTATGTTTACAAAAATTTCCAATACATACTGTGTTTACTAATACAGTATTCATGTTTTTCGCCTTGTAATAAGACAATCACCCATAATATACCTGATCTTGGTAAGCTATGCAGGGTTAAACGTGGATACTGCTTGGATGAGCGTGCATCGTGGTTAAAAACAAGCCTTGCAGAATGACATTTGGCTTTGTCAGAACACTAACATCTATGCTACTCATCTTCACCAACCTGCAATGACAAGCTTGGTGAAGTATGGTCAAATAACTCTCACAGCAGTGCATTGACAAAAAGGATGTGCCTCTACACAAAATATAAAATGTCACTGAAAATGCTGTCGAGTAATCTCCGAGCAACACATGCTATCGAGATGGAAAATACATCTCAAAATTCCTACACAAGTTGACAGAACATACTTGTGCACAACAGCCAATTACCCATGCAAACATTCATAACATCATTCCAAATGCAACGAGGTAAGATTCCAATGGTTTGTCATAATGCTGCGTTGTCTAAATATTAGATCATCCTGGCATGTTATTTTAAATTGTGCATTATTTACACATTTTCCCATTTTGTGACAATTCCTTTTGAACGTAGTTGTGCATTGTAACGACCAATAAGTTAAATTTGCATTGTTTCAGCCACACACTTTATTCAACCAAGTAAAAACATTGATAACATTTTGAGTGACGAATTATGTCAGTGGAAGCAAAGCACAATCACTTCCTGTGACGTAATCTCCCGTAGTGCCAGAATGCATGTATATCTTGTGGGGACTCAAACCCCGACATAACAACCTTATTTATAATGATTGGCTTAATGACAAGGTCCTGCACACCCATGCTTGTATCACTATCACCTTGAATAGAGGGGCACGACCCTATAAACAGCAAAAACAGGGAGGCTTGAGTGAGGTTTCATGAACTGCACTGACAGGTCGACATTATTACATGTCCTTGTCCTACAGAAAGTGCCTTGCAAATTACCACTTAGGCAGTCTTTTCTAAATAAAAAAACTGATATACCAATGAATCAGAAAACCAGACAGACAAGTGTAAGAGAACATGTGTACAATAGAATGTGCGGCATACGTGTCACATTCATTTTCAAGTGAACACTCGAGAGTCCCAAGTTATTGACAGGCAGTCTGAATCAGTTATGATGCTTACATTTAGACCAAGGCTGTGGCTAAAGCACTTGTTACGAAAATTATTAATGTTTATCAATAACCAAAGCTGTCACACATTAAGGTACCCTTTAAATAATTTAAATTTGTCATCAATAACCAAGGCATTCTAAAGAAGCGATACAGCAGATTTAAAACTCCTGGCGATCATTTTGATGTGGCTTCAATGCAAGACGTTCAGAGGACACATAAGGAATGATTCAGATTCATTTCTTCCAATATGCTACAATTGCAATTGTGTTGCCCAATTCAAAACACATTGAACGCTACAATAAATGCTTACACCACCAAAAAAAACATCAAACTAAAATTGTTATGAGTTTGAGGTTCTCTAATTATATCTCAATTAACCTCAACATACATTCCCAATTTCAACTCATATTTAATTTAGAACTACCTACAGAAAGCAGACAACAATCACACGCGACTGTCCACTTGTCTTCAGTTTAACATTTAGGCTTTCCCAAACAATGTCTTCACTCTGGCCATACAGATATTTTACTTGCAAATAATGATCCTCCACAAAACGATACAGATTCTCTTTTTATATAATACTTAATATAAATATTAATGTATTCCTTCTAGAGATGTCTGCATTCATTTACAACTGGGCTGGGGGGGGGGGGGTATACAAGTTAGTTTGGGCCTTCACAGGGCCTAGGTTTACAGTTCAAACCCAGCGGATAAAGTAGAGAACCGCAATATGCTTCAAAATGGATGTTTCGGCTCCCGTGACACCAATCGCATGAGCAGCCATTGTGTACCAGAGTCATTGCCCAAATGAGCAAATATAAAAAAATTACCCGGAAATTAATTTAAATAGAAAGACTGCACGACGCAACCATCACATTTTCAAGACCCTCCGGAAACAGGGTCACGAGGCTCAGTGAGTCTTTCCTGGGTAAAAAAAGCTAAATACAAATCTATTGTGCCCAAGCCCAAACTCCTTAAAACTTCTCCACAGACATGGGTAGATTAAACATTATATCAGCTAACGGGGAGGAGTATTGTACAATTACTTGGCAATTCATGCCAAGTAACCAAAGAGCACAATTAAACTATCACTCATGAAGTATAGACTTGGGTGACTAGTTCCGTGGACAACATGCACACACGTCTGCCTTCCTGTGTAAGTAATTACAAATATAGGGATTTGCACTGTGACAAGGGGTTACGAAGCAACCTGATGAGTAGTCAGGTACATGTGATTTCCTCAACGCGAACATTCTGTTTTAAAGTTATTGTTCAGAGCTATGTATCTGTATATGTAAACGTATGGTAAATTACGTAACATTACATTTGATGAATGGGCCTGGAGGTTAACGCACCTACAAGAGCTCTAGTTCCCAAAACATCGTGGTAAAACTTGCAGTTGCCTGTTATTTTCTGCAGTGCGTGCCCTGCTATAAATCATGCACAAATACGCTGGCATCTTCTGCAGCATTGATGTTGTGGCCCAAATAATTATTTCGTATATACTACTCTTATCTTAACTATAGCACAAAAACAGCAATCCATCTTGAACTACCATTTCCTGATGAAGTATCTATGAGAACATTTTAACAAAGTACAAATTATAATAGCCACCACTGTATAACTCACATTTTTTTCTTGCAAATATTATGTATCAAAATAATGCCATGTGCATATAAAACCATATTTGGATTTTAAAGCAAGATGGCATTGAAATGTTTACGGACTGCAATGCCTTAAATTCTAAACGTGCATCTTTTTGGATTCACCACCACCACCACACAGAAATGGTTATGCTAAAGAAATGTGGAACATTACGTAAGAAGCTTGACCAACTGGTTTTTTAAATAGGTTGCGAAAGGAACAATTTCTAAAATCACTGCACTTTCTACCTTCAAGCATCCTTATCTGGATTTCTGAGGTAATAAATGTGGAAATCTCACTCTCCTGAAAGACAAATGTTTGTACTATACACATTCGACTTTACTAATGGTAGAATAATTACATTCAAATTAGCATGACACCCACATCTCAAGAGTTTCCAAAATTTCACTCTGCAAAGCAATACACCATAACCCAAACATATGACTCCACGGATGTATGACGGTTCATAAAATACTTGACAATCGTTTGGTTAACACATTTTGAAGGCCACAGGACTTATACGGAAGTATACCCAACACAAAACATGCATGTTGCCACTACAAGTGTTGTATGCTTGAAGGACAGCGGTTTGCCGTGTCCACATGACATCTCAAACGGTAGGATTCAAAGAAAAACATGTACCATCTTGAAAACACATTATTTATCGCAATGGTTTGTCTATAAAAGCTAATGGTTTTGAATATTATATAACTTGGCTTGCCTCTAAAGACACTACACGGATAGGCAAAGTGAATACTGTTCTGTTGTGGATGTTGACCACTCGTCACTTCCTCTCGTCAGCTGACTGGCACACTGCATGACTTACTAAACATTCCTCACCTAAGCAGCCACCAGCGCAAGATGTACACGAGTGTCCTAGCTTAAGAGGTTAATAAACGTTTCACTTCAGTAACACAGCGCAACACCGATGCTCCTCAGAAATACATACATCTGCATATTGAAAACTAACAAAATAGGGAGCATAAACTCCACTATACACAGGTACTTAGACTGCCATCGATGCAGAGCTTATTTTTGGCATTAGTCACCTGTACGCACTCCTTTAATATCCTATTTAAACCAGTATTAATGGTGAAATTTCGAACGAGATCAATAACATGCATATGGTGACCAACATTTGGTTAGGAATTATATAAAGCGGAACGGTAAGCCACGTTGAAAAACATTACAAACTTGCTTTAAAAAAATGAAATATAATCTCGTAAAACAAGTACTGTATAGCGCGTTCACATTACGCGAGCTCTGAGAAGTTGGTGACGTGTGCGTCTTAAACGCATTGGCAGGTGGCGTAAGCGTTCATTGAAACGATAACAGTTGTAGGTCAGCACCCATAAAAACGTGCCCCAGTGGGATTGGGGGGGTAGAATGCGTTCACTTGTCTTAATTGGGCCGATATAACGAGAAGGAGCGCCAGCGGCACGGGACGAGAGGGGTCTCACCGCGAACCGCAGGAGCAGACACGACTTGCCAACGCCGGAGTCGCCGATGAGGAGGAGTTTGAACAGGTAGTCACTGCCGAGAGAGCGCGTTCAGTGGTTAAACACGAGGGCACTCGTTATACTCGCCGGTAAACATGCCCCGTCACCCACACGCCGCCGGTCGCCGTCAGGTGAACCGAGTGCAACGCGATCTGTTTACTGGGCGAGGAAGAACGGCCACACGGCAGGTGACACCGATGCTGCGGCGACCCCCACAGCTCGGCCAAGAAAATTACCTCTCTAACGCAAAACCCTTTAAAGAGGCGCCCTGGGCCCGACAGCGCTGACGCCCATCGGGCCCGGCACACAAGGGCAGCGAGCAAGTCGAGGTTGGACCATGTCAGCTCGAATGTCATGCTGGTCTCGGCGAAACGCGACTGCGCGTCCCCGCTCGGCAACACTTTCACCGCCTCGACAAGAGCCGAGCGAAGCGACCTCGCCTCGCTGCCAGTAGAAACAAAGGCGGCCGCGTCACCCCGCCGGCTACGAGCGCAGCACCCGGTGCAGGCCCCGCCCGGGCCCAGACACTCCCCAACCTAAGAGGGCTTTTCCCTCGTATCTCTCCCGTTTCTCTCCGCCCGCCCGCCCGCCCGCCGCCGTCTCGTCTGCCTCTCTCGCTCCGGGCCCCGGGTGAAGCATCGCCCACGACGACCCGGTCACCCCCCACCACCACCACCCTCAGCCGACCAGACTCCGCACTCGCGTCGCCGCCGTCGTCGCCGCCGCCGCTTACTATTCGGGGTTCATGGTTGACATCGCTGGGAGAAAGGCCTGTGCAGCAGAGTGTCGTAGCGCGGCGTGACGGAGCGCGCTGCGGGAATGAGGAGCCTGTGGGGTGCCAGTGGAGAGGACGAGGACGCGGCTCTCTCGCTGTCTCTGCGCCTCCGCACGTCGCTGGCTCCGCACAAGATGGCGCCGGGCAGGGCAGGAAATGGCCGAGCCTTCCGCTCCGGCAGCGCCTTTACATTCCCCAGTGCGCACGCGCGCCCCGGACGCGCGGCGCGGCCTCCCATTGGCTCGCGCCCGAGCGGCCCGCCAATCGGGCGTCGGCTCGCCGGCGGCGCGTGCGACCCCCCCCCGACCAATCGCGACGCGTTCCGGCCCGCCGCGGCGCCTATGCGCTGTGGCAAATTAAATGGGATCGCCCGCGCCGACGTCATCGGGAGACGTGGCATCACATGACTGCGGCGTGCGGGGCGGGGCCGCGGTGGGGGGTGGGGGGGGTGCGCGGATCACGTGACGCGAGGCGGCAGGGGCGCGGAAGTGGAGCCTGGGGTCTGTGACGTGGAGACGTCGGTGGCTGGCCACGGACGAGGTGTGTGGGCGTCGCCGCGAGCGGTGGACGAGTGGCAATGGGCGTGGCCACGGCCAGGTGAACGTGGCCCGGGCGCGTGGGCGTGGCCTCTGGTGCGTGGGCGTGGCCTCTGGTGCGTGGGCGTGGCCTCTGGTGCGTGGGCGTGGCCTCTGGTGTGTGGGCGTGGTCTCGAATGGGCGTGGTCTCGGCTGCGTGGGCGTGGCCTCTCGTAGGGGCGTGCTCGCTAGATAGATACGAACCGACTGGACGCGTTTTATACATTTTGCAAAGCGGTAGAGCATATTCTTTTGGTCTTTCGGTAAAGTCACGTAGATAGGTGCATGTTACAATTGCCAGTTTCCTCTATGATTACTCCGGAAAGATTCGAGTCACTGTTATTGACATGGCGTATTTTAAAAGGTGGCCGAGTGGCGAGAGAGCCACACCGATTGAACTTAGGCTCTCAAGGGTCGTGAGTTCTCAGCCCGGGCACCAATCATTGCACAGACTCTCATCCGATTTCGTTTAATTTGTAGAAAAAAACTACATTCTGCATATCCAGCTCTTCGAATCAAAAGCCACTTGGCAGGCCAGTCTAATCATACTTCTTTCCATTGCACAACCGAGCCATGTCGGCGCCCTATCAAGCCCGGCACGGCTCGGGAGGCGTCTGGTTGTTTTCCACTGCTTCATGTCACCGTAACCATTTTCAAATGGCTTTCGTTGTTGTGAATTTCCTTTGAATAAATAATTTCTCCTTACATGACGCCGCTTCTGATTTGTATTTTGTGAGTTTATTCGTGTAATCGCGTTGTATATGGATGATTCCTATATCTTTTCTTTTTATCAAGGTCTTGATTTGTGAGAGCTTTAATTACCACGTAAATGCGTACTGCTTGCATTACTTGACGGTCTCCAAAAGTAAAATAATCCAGTATCAGTACTGGACAATAATGGAATGTCCTTTATTAGTAGAAATATAGACATTACACTAGAGGGCAGGCTGTCTTACTGGTTGGGTGACGTGACAATAATCACTTGACCACACAAGATACCACATTCCCCTGTGTAGCCTTATAGAGTGTAGGAGCAAGTGCTGTTAGCGAGCACCTGTAAAGGCCAGCACCACGCTCGGCCGCCTTTGTCTCCCTCGTGGCCATGAGCGGTAATCGAACTCGGGTCGCCGGGTTCGTAACGCTGCGCGTTGACCGCTCCCACAGTAACTCATCAATCACGACACCATTCAACGTCACCGTGTCAGTATTATGGGATGAGGGTTATGTAAATTAAAAACATAGCAGTGAAGATCCCATTAATTTACCATATCTCCAACATATGAGCTCGTTAGACATTGCATGTCTGGCCCAGTGTCCATGCCACGTGTATAGATTCTCTCCATAGTACGATCCTGCATTGTATTGTGAGATTTCACCCCCAGTATACCGTGCATTGCTAATCCAGCCGTCCAGGATGTTTTTCACATTATAAAATTGTCACCATTCTGTTCAATCATGATATAAAAGTTTAGGGTCCATGAAAACAATGTTGTGCAGAATACATTTGAAAAAAACTGAGGACAACACGTAGCTCTATGCATCACTTTTATTGCTTTTTTTTGTTCAAGCACTTACAACCCTTAACAAGGTCCATCCTTATATTTCAATCAACCACCGTCCGACTCAACGTTCCAGAGCACAGTCCATGCAAATGTCTTGTATGTTTGTTGATGCCTACATTTTGTCTATATGTAATAGTATATTAGCTGATTAGTATAAAAGCAAATCATACGATAAATATACAATCCATCATGCAGCACCAAAATGAATCAGTTTTAAAACCATAAACCTGCTGCTGAAATTCAAATACATTTCCTTCCCTTCAGCAATTACGTAAATATATGCATCAGCGAGTAATTGTTGGGCAAAGCAACACGTCTACATGCCCAAACATTAGTTTGTGTACCGACAGGGCAGAAAAGGCAACACACAATGATACCTCATCCTCATGAATACGGTGTTCTCCTATAACGCGTGTTGTTTTCATGACGCGAATTGGTTACAACGCGACGATGAATGTACGAGGACACATTTTTTTATAACGCGAATGCTAATTGGACATAACGCGATCGAGTGAACGGAACTGACGTCCCGCAGAGTCGGAATAAGCGGTCGTAGCATCGCACACGAGACGGGATGCTGCTGGATGCTTCTGGATGCTTCGAGATGCGACTCACGCGCATCCGTCTTTGTTCGGCATACGCATCGCGGACTGTGCTTTACGCTGTTATTTATTATAACGCGGTTTTCCATAGCGCGGTGTTCTTTAGGAACGCAACTACTACCACGTTATAGGAGAACTGTCTCCTTCATGTGTTTCGGTAGCCTGGAACCCTGCAACCTGACAGGTTCCCAAACTAGTCAGATTACAACAACCTATTAGTGATGTTAACACAATGTTTATTTTGCATAGTTATTTATAATTACTTAACAATAATGAAGCAGTCAACACTCTACTTCATATCACATTCTTATCGAGTGTGTAATTTTACTGTTGAATAAAATTTGTAACAGCATAACATGACCGTTAAAATAGGACGTTTGTCCAAATAAAATGCTGCCGGGAACTTTAATGTCTCCGAAATGAAGCTTAAAACATTGGTTGCCGACTGGTTCACTGTAAGCTGGCATCATGTACGGTACCATACAACTTGCTCAGTGGCAATGCATGCCAAGCGAGTGGTCGGGAAAGCAGGTCGCAGGCCATTACTTTTCCAGCCCTAGGCACCACAAACACAGCAAGTTAAAATCATGGTTCTATCTACCGCCAGAATGAAAACCACATCTACACTTCGTTGTATAAGCACTGGACACATCTAAGAAAACATATTGCTTTTAGTCATTGACGTGTTATTGCTAATACTTAATGCTTGCATATATTGTTCTATTTCAATAAGGGGGAGATGGCCGGGTGGCTGCCGCATCCTTTGCGCAGGACACTTAACAGGACAGGAATAGCACTCATGGTTATTACTCTACCCGCAACTCCACATTTTCAGAGAAAAGCTCAAAAGTGGACAAAGGATGAACTATCGCAGTTGCCCCACTATGTAGAACAACATTTTAAGCACATTTTATGTTAACATTTTAATAAAACGCAACTACGAAACCCATAGCGAATGGAATAACTTTCAAAGGTAAGCTTAAAATGTTTTGACTGACGTTGTAGAATGTACTTATTTGCAATGCTGTTTTATAATGGCATGCTTCCATCTAATGTACCCACTGACCTTTAAAATTACATTGTTGCCACCTTTTCATTCATCTGAAATTATGTGCATTGCAAAACAGTTGACGATTTGGCTCTTGAAGAACAGGAAATTTTGTAAAGATAAAATACTTTACTGCAACACACGCTGGTATTTAATTGCTGTCATATTTTATGCGTGGCTCCTTCCAATTGATTGGACGTTTGCCGCACATCAATTAATGGCGTAGACAAATTTGGCAAATGTTTCTTGTGAAGTAGCTCAGTTGTACATAAGACGAGCATTCTTGCTTATGCTGCAGAGTGTGACAAGCTTTTCACAGAATCAGTTTGCATTGGCTCTTAAGATGCATGGATATAAGGTAAGTCAAGCATGCCCATATGCAAAACATGAGATCCAGGAGTGAAATAGCCATAACAGTACCTTCCCCCACAGCAGCCTCCACACCCACACAATCCTGCAAGCCTATCATTATTACTGGTTTTATGCATGCATAAAAGTGTAAAACAACACAGCAGCATGCAGAAACCCATTGTGTTCACACTACAGGATACAAGGTTACTCGATTATGTCTCAAGTTCCAATATATGCGATTACGAATTATGTGCAGATTTAATAATGCATGCATAGCATATTCCATAGGCGTACTGGCACAGTGGTGCCTTATTATTAGTAACGATGTATGTACATACTGGCTACGGCAGCACACTACCTATTTACTATGCGGCCTTAGCCAAAAATGCTTCCCTATAAGGTTAAAGGTATAACATGCAGTACATAATGTTTTCTTCATCTTGCTCAACAAAATTCATTACAATGGAAGACGTTGGTGATTTTGTTGTTTGTTTTTGAACTCTGCAAGTTCAGACGCCGATAACGGCTATTGCACCATCCCTCTAGCCTCACGTAAACAGCGGCTAAACGAAAGTTTACTTACTACAAGAGCTACTGTGAGTTAGCACTACAACTGCTTTGATTACACTGCTAGTTACTAAATGCCACATACACAGTGAAACATTTTTATAACGTCACCAGAACATAAAAAAACCATTTAGCGTTCCGCTTAATTCATATTTAAATGCTTAAAATCTATTAATAAGTGGGCTGTCACTGGCGATTTTGTTTATTACGTGACAAAAAATAATCGTTGACGCACACATTAGTTACTTTTTTAACATTATGCATGACGAGTAGCCGTGGTCTTGACCCCCTTTATCCTATCGCTCGTTAAGTCACAAGTCAAACCTGCACCCAGGCAGGGTTCTGAACCCGTCACACGACCGCACATCGAGCCCAGTCTTTAATGTCACCCTGTCAGTGTTGCCAGATGTCAAACCCTTCCCCTGACAATTCAAGCCGGGTGTCAACCGTGTACCCATATCACTTGAGCTCTGCGTCAAATCCATCAAATTATTCAGGTTAGGTAGTGGACCTGTCATCATGGTTGCTATGACATTTAGAGTGAATTTTACTCAGCCACTGCACTATTACATCAGACAATGAATCACTGTCCATTAACCGGTATGGGTAAATACATGGAATGGACAAACTCTTATTTATCCAGAAAAAATCGATTGTGACAGCCATATCATATAAAACAAAATAATATGAAAACTTACATCAGTGTAGGAAATTGAAAATGACAAAAAAAACATACTGGGTCTTGATGCACGTGTTAAGATTATGGAACGTTTACACTGACGTCATCCATTAACGCCCAAAATAAAATGTGAAATGTGATTTTAATTGAACATCGCTATAAGAAGGTTTCACTGCTGCCAGAGCAACTCATGAAAATGTAAAACAGTACTCAATGGTAAACCCCACAAGTGTCAGGAGCAAGCCCTTTTGTGAACACGCTATGCAGTGTATAATACAATTGTGTATTACGTTGCATGCAATACTGTAAGCAAACCCCAGTGAAATTGTCTGCATATTTCATTGTACTGAAAATAAATCTGCAGCATTGCCACTTTGATAGCTGCCAAGAGTAGTTTTCTGCATTGGTAAATTTTCTAATTCTATAAACAATAAAGACAAATTGCAGACAGCTGCAGAAGGCTGCCTGGTATAGACTTCCATCAGAATTGTAAATCCATGCATAATACAGCAGAACACAGCATACCTTTACATCATTGCTTTGGAGGTAAAATGTTTAACTAAGTACCCTAGAAAATGTCTGCTCAACATTACTGTAATAACTTTTTACTGTATTCCTATTACCCGTTTTGGGAATTATCCATGGCATTAGTAAACCTTTGTTCTGCTTTCTGTATGTATTGATAAGCTGGATAATTTTCAATATACGGTACCTTGATTTAGGGTAATAATTAACAATGGGGCAGATATCTAATGCTGATTCATGTATGGGTGTACATTACCTTAACTTGCAGAATCAATTGTCCTGCTTTGGTAACAGTGAAATCGCATTGTTCTTTAGGTGGCATTTGAAACATGGAAATAAACCTTGGTTACACATGTGTTCATTGCGTTCAATGTGCAGCATTTAGCACAACACCAATCAATATTTGGGCACTATCTTGAGACTTTGGCAATTAGGATTGGAAGAACGAATTTCCAGTACTCAAATTGAAGTTGTGATTAATATATCACCACCAACATACATTTTCTCTCAGTCAATTCACGAGGCAAAGAACGACTCATTCCAATAACTTCTTGCAGATACTACTTTGGTCACCTCAGATATCAGCGGTCTAAAAAACAAATTTCAGCTCCCAGTAAGGTGGTTTTGTGCTTATATATCAACAGATATACAAACTTTGATCTCGAAGCTGAACTAGGTTGCATTTATGTAATGACTGACAATTTTCTTAGTCTCTTGCTCAGTTAATTCTCATTAAAACCATGGAGATTATTTTACCAAATTAAGAACATCAATAGTTCTACAGCTATTTATGGCCCACATTGAAAGGTGTACATAACCCACACGTACGTTTCAGTCAAGTTGGTGATTTCCAAAATAACATGTTAGTTACTAAATATCGTTATAAGTGCCATGTTTTAGTTTTATAATTAAACAGTTAAGCAGACCATCCTGGTAGGCAAGCTGTGTGTCATCTCCCTTGCAAACAATTTAATAATAGCAACAAGTTAAGTATGTTCGTTGTGTGGTGAACTATCATATAAATCTTTCCACTCCTGCAAAGGGGGGCACATTAGAAGCTTTCTCCAACACCATTTTCATAATTCCAGAATTCCCTGCATAGTGAGGTCACACTTAAGTTTTAAATCTCCAATTTAGATATTCCCAATCGTACTCACACTATATTAAAAATGAAATATTATAGCATGCTCCCTGTGTGAATTCGTATTCCCTGGCATACACATCTGCAGGAGTGACGTCACAACGCAAATCTGTGTGATGACATCCGCATTACCACAGCGTTGAGCCGGGTTCGTGCGTGGTGACGTCACGCACCCCAGCCATGCATCCCACACAAAAGCGATCGAGGAGGGAGCCGAGGGAGATATAGCAGAGAGGAAGAGATGGAGAGGAATAGAGAGGAGAGGGGCGGGAGAGTGAATGGCCATGGTATGTAAAGGGAAGAGAGCAAAACGGAAAGAGCGAGAGAAAGCGACAAGCAGTGGGGGGATTAGGGAGAGGCAAGAAAGATTGAGACAGGAAAGGGAAAGGTGGGAATACAGAGAGAAAGGGTGATAGAGAACAGGGAGACAGGGGGGAGGGAAGTGGGTGAGATACAGTGGAGGGAGGAGAGGAATATAGAAGATATGGAAGTGTGGAAACAGGAATACAGATGCAGACAGAAGCAGAGACAAGGTGAAACATCTGGATAAATTGGGGAATAAAGTACACAAGGCAAGAGAAATGTGGAGAGAGGCAAGACTCTATATAAGATAAAAAGTTTTACTGGCTGGCTTGGAGAGACGGACACATCCAAAGGACCTGTGGGCAGATCCAAAGGACGTGTGGATTGCTAGTTATTTAAAACAAAAATAAGTGAAATCACTTTGTTTTAACAAAAAGAGCTACATTTTAAACGGTGCAGTCATAAACGATCTTCAAAAGGCATTAGCCCTGCAATATCTAATGATATGGAAATGCATTAATAGGATATGCCCAATCATATTAATGGTAAATTAGTTGGCAGAATGTAATCATAGAAGAGTCTTGTGAAGCTGAGGAGTAGTCTGGGCATTTTCCAACTTCGAAAAATGATAAGTTTGATGATGTCATTTTATTTCTGAGACTTTTGACCTTGCACGATCTATAATGCTTCCCATCAACTCCATGTGATCGAGTCAGACACAGGCAGGTGCTGCTGACCCAGTACCAACACAATCTAGAAAATGTCATTAGTTTTTGTGACGATAGAAAAACCAAGAATCCCTCATTTGTGCACCGTGGATCACTACCATCACGTGGATTTAGAGTGCGAACTTTTGCTGGTAAGGTGATGGCCTCAATTTTCCAGGAACCAGATGAAATCATAATGATTGATTAGAACGTGGAAGAACCATCCCAAGACAGTACAGTAAAAGGCAGACCTAATTTTAAAATTACAAAATGTAATAAAAGTGAAGTGGAAAGTTGACACTTGGGCAAAAAAATGTTTACACCTAACATGCTCGATTACATGTTTTGTGGAATTCATCAATGTACATTAATTGCTGCATTGATACATTCCTATAACAATCTTAAATATATGGGATGCGTTGGCAATGGCTCCATGAACACAAACCGAGAGATGTTGAAAGGTGATGTGACAACTTGGCCCTCTTGGCAGAGGAGCATGGCAGAAAATCTATAAAAGAGTTGACCACAAGCATCATAGCAACCCCATTTACAACACTGGACTGCCTACAAGGGAGAGCAGAGTTGATGCTGCTACATTTTAAAGTGGCACAATTGGGACATTTAAACTATTGATAAAAGCATACATCTCAGTCAATGCATTAAAGTATTCAATGTCAAGGACACATTGCTAACTCCAATTCCTATGTTGCATCATTCAGAGATTCATTTTGCTATTGGCCACCTAAATCTGTCTAGATTTAGAATGAGTACTGTTAAACACAATGAGTATCACTTGCTATTAATATCAAATGTGTATATTCTTTGGGTCTTTTGGTAAAGTCACGTAGATAGGTTAAAATAAAATAAAATAACAAAAAATATCAAAAAAGTACGACGTTTCGATCGCAACACAAGCGTTTGTCATCTCGTGACTTTACCAAAAGACCAAAGAATATAAATTCCTGCAGTCATGAAAGCTTTAAGTCAAGATCAAATGTGTAGTTTATTTTACCAACTGAAGAGCACTATCTTGTTTTATGTTTGAAATCACTTAAATACATTTTTCATCATTGTATTTCGTAATGGAAGAGCTATAGGTTTTCTTCGAATTCATAAATCTGAGCACATGGACTGGACTTAAATTGGGTACTGCTTCACTTAATAATTCAAATTGAACAAGTAAACATTGAAAATGCAAAACACAAATCCAAATGCCAATCTAACATGTAGCCATCATTGGTGTTTAACTATACATTTGAACAAAACACAGCAGGGATACTGCAGCCAATCCAATACTTGATTGTTGGGGGCATTTACAGGGAATTGTTCACACAGCACTCCACATGCCTCCAGATGAACTGCTTAAGTTGTTCGGGTCTTCAGGAATGGAGCAGGCGTTTCATGTGATGTTTAGCTTGTTGGATGCAGCATCTCTGTAAAGACATTAGACCAGAACCGGCAAATACAGGAGTAGAGTAACTTGGAAAATAAAAAAAACCAGTTTTTTCACATTTACACACAATTTTCATGTGTACTCATGCTGAAATAATTACTGAAAATAAATTAGGTAAGTAGAGCATGCTGTAAATATGTTTAAAATTAACTCTTTGTGGTGTTCTGTATATATTTTTTCATAAGTTCGACACTTTAAAATATGCGAACAAAATTAATAATGTTGAACAATGACAAAGACAAATAACCTATATACCAGCCTTACCCAAGAGAACAGGAATCACTTGCAAATTACATCATATGCAGTAGGGTTGTGAAAATGATTTAAATGAACCAATATCCATTTAAATGCAAATTTGTTTATGAAACTGAACTTTTATTTTGACCGATACATCAGAAATTTGGACCAAAGGAAGATGCAAGTACTAGTTTTAATTGTCCTGTTAAAGATGCATTTAGTCAAATGTCTTACTCAGACAGAGCAACTCACTGGCATTTGGGTACATACATGCCATGTTCACCAATGTAAAAAAAATACTTTTTTTTGTTTAAACAAGACCAATATCCATATGATAAAGGTCATTGTCCCTTTGTACAGTAAATAGGTAGAAGCACAATATGAATGGGTCATTGAGGAAGACTGGAAAGATATTTTATACAAATTGTATCCAAACTCCTAACATCATGTAAAGGCCATCCAAAATAATGTAAATACGATTTTAGCACATTGCAAATAACTATATTGATTGATGGTAATGTGGCCAATGACATTTGCTGTTGGTAAATAAAAAACTGCCATTTCACCGCTCAAATTCCAGCTGCAAGCTGCAGGAAAAAGTGTGCTGCCGAATGTATGTTTATGCAGTCCAGTCTGGCCGAGCATTAAGTGGTAAGACTGTGGAACTTACTATGTATTTGTAGGGTGCAGTAGTACCATTAATATGTATACGAGTCAAGAGAGTCATGATGTCCACTTGGACATCCCCCAATCCAAATGTTGCTCATGGTATAATACACTTAAGGCAGTCATAAACCAATTATTTGACTCACTGTAGGGTGATATGGTGGTGTGCCTGAAAGTCATGTTTTCAGCCAATACCCTTTTAATGGAGCAGAAAATTCGTGTTACAACTCAGCACACAGAACCAGTTTATTTAATCACAAAATAACTGCTATTTGATTTTCGGAGGGTTTGGTTTGTGTTTTTTACAAGACTAGGTTTTACAAAATGCTATGGAAGAAGCCCTCTTGAAGCAGAACAGCAGACTGTGCATCTGGTTTCTTACGTAGATCATCTTATTTTAGCTGCTTAAATCTACTTAAACTACAGAATCACCATTTACAGGAGCAAGGAGTTTAAAACTCTGCACACCACCAGCAGAATCTTAATTCTAAATCAACGTGGTTTCATTTTTTCAGTGATGGCCTATGGTATAGAGAAAGGGCAATAACATCTGGGAAATCAGGAAAATGTTAGTTTTTCACGCCTGCTGTTGATGAGCCCTGGAAGGGTAAAACTAGTGCAGAGTTTGTGTGCTTGAACACAAATGCTGCTAGGTACCATTAAGCTTGAAAGGCTATTCGGCTTACAGACTGAAATACCATTTGTATTTATGTGGAGATACCGAGCAACATGTGTAGTTGTTTTGTTACCTAGCATGCCCCACCACGATGCTCGTTGAGGACACATGAAGTCAGGGTGGAGTTGAGAAGGGAAGGAGCCTCCAACCCCCAGCCATACCCTTCCTGCATTCACAAGAGATTCAAGAAATTGTTCGTTACCTTACTGCCTTTTACCACACTTTACATCTTCACGCACATATCATCATCATCGTCAGCCGTGATCAATCCTGTTGGATGACCACTGCTGGTTCAAGGATCAAGGCCTCCCCAAACCGTTGCCGTCTCTCACGTTCCTGCAATGCAATAACCCACCGAGCACCTGGACACGAGCTGATTTCATCGCTCCACATTCGCAATCGACGTTCTCTCGGAATGTGTTTTTTTTATATCGTAAGTGTGCATTGAGGCCAATGCATAGTTACATGTATTCAGTAAAATCAAATCTAAGAACATACAAGCATAAGTACTTTTATAAGATACTAGCAGGAAGTACCCGGCGTTGCTTGGGTCTTAAAAATAATTCAAAACTACTCTTAAAAATCTAACAGCAGTGTTTACTAACTGTGGTGGTACCTGCTATGATTACAGCAGTGCATACTGTGGTGGTACCTGCTATGATTACAGCAGTGCATACTGTGGTGGTACCTGCTATAATTACAGCAGTGCATACCGACTGGTGGTGCCTGCTATGATTACAGCAGTGCATACCGACTGTGGTGGTACCTGCTATCACTACAGTAGTACATGCTGACTCTATAGCACAAAGTACTCACCTGACAGAGTGGCATGGTGAGGCCTAGTCCCATGCGGTGATACCTGCTATGATTACAGCAGTGAATACTGACTGTGGTGGTACCTGCTATGATTACAGCAGTGCATACCGACTGTGGTGGTACCTGCTATCACTACAGTAGTACATGCTGACTCTATAGCAGTATTTATCGACTATATAGCACAAAGTACTCGCCTGACAAAGTGGCGTGGTGAGGCCTAGTCCCGTGCAGAGCCTCCGGTCTCGCCTAGATTGTCCAGCCGGCCGAGGTGGCACCTTGGCAGGCTGGGGCTGGGATGCTACCCCTGACGCCCCCCCCCCCAGCCACGATCTCCCCAGCCGCTCTGCAGTAATATCTACAGCCTATAGTGGTAGAATCTAGTTACTGTATAGTAGTAATAACTGCACGCATCGGGGTGGGGGGGACATCACACAGTGAATAATTAACCTGAGCGTTTAGTGTATTTTATAGCATTTTTTATGTGAAAGAAAATGCCCCCCCCCCCCCCACCGAAGGCGTGCGACTTGGCATGGGCCGTCCCCCCCACTAAAGGCGCGTGAGTTGGTATGGTCGTGCACGCGTCATAAATAAATAAATACCAGTACAGATTGTCATAAGTCTGTTTTTATTGTGGAGGCATAACCAATTAAGTCACAATGCAAAACATATTAAAGGAACAATATCTACGTATACTAATTCATTTCATCTTTTGAGGTGAGGGAAGATTGAGAAATGTCTCTTTTATAAGAGATGTAGACTACCTGGACATGTTTGTCCTTTTGTGCTACTAACACATCAATATCCTGTTATTTACTTCTGTCAATTTTGGTGGATTAAGAATGTTTATTATTGCCCAAAAACAATATTGAATATTGTGTTCATTACAATAAATACAAGACAGAAACCCAGCCAAGTAAACCAATACTTGTTATGGGTTGGCAGCATGGAAGGAAAATTCAATACTGTAACTCAGACCAGTAGATCCCTACCTCATCCCTTCCGATGGCGAACCTTCCCAAGTGTAACATCTTTTCAATTTAACTGTACAAGAGGCAATATGGGGCTTGTTAGCTAAAGTGAAGAACCATGCTCAAACGTGACCATTGGCAATTTAGTGGGAAGCAGCTGAGCCAAATTAAATTGTGCTGGATTGGCCACATTAGTTTGTCATGCTTTGGCAAATTTCATGAAATTGTGCGAACAATGCAGTTGGCAAGCATATCGACGGAGGAAGCAACACCAAGAGCCATGGTTTATACTGAAATATAACTTTGATAATTACGAGTAAAGTACCATATTATGCATGTGACAAAAAAGTGTTACAATGCATAGTCAATGCAGATGTCCACCATTTTCAATAAAGAATGTCTTCCTCTTATCAATTCATGGCCATCAACAAATATAGCATACATAATACTGGATAAGTATGTGGAATGTGGACACCCTGTCTGGGATTAAAGGGGACATCACAGGAGATAATCTAAATTGTGGACAAGCAGAGTTTTCATCCTGGAAGGAAGATCTTCCTGCAATTTGGGGGTTTCTGTTCTTACAGATGAGAGGAATTGTAGAATAAACTAATACTTTTGGCATCATTGTATAAAATAGGTCACATGTACAGAGTTGTTTTTGTGGGTAACAAAATTGAGAAACTATCTTTTTCTACAATGTTGCTTATTCACAAGCTGTCTCCCCCACTTCACCACGAACAAGAGAGATGTCACTGCATAATTAATATAATGCATATATCTCTACTCTGTAGAAAGCCTGTCATCCGCAACCACATCGCACCAGTGCAATCTATTATTTATGAAGGCTAGGCTATCCAAAATGTATCCTATTTATGGACCTCAAAGATTTGTACGTTAGATCATCCAAAGGGTACAAGTTAATCTTCGCTGCGATATTGTGGACAAGATTCAGATTCCCCATTTTTGGAGTGGATTGTTTTTGTTTATGGATATATCAATGAAAAGTGTAGGACATACCTGCCTGTCACAAGGTTGCAGACATCTGCAAAATATATGAAATACACCAGCTTGCAATTGCAAGCTTTTTTCAACATGTATTCATTAAAATACACATGGCAGAAACAAATGCAAACACGTTGCATTATTTCAGAGCTTTGCCTGGGATGTTCCTTACTGTGCAAGTTTTACTGAGATTCATACACTTCAGAATCAGAATATTTATTTAGACTGGAGGAAGTTCTTTTTCACAAATATCTAGTAGGGGTGGTTCATTAGGTACACAGAATAGTTAATTTTGTTACACAATGAGTACAGGTTGAGCAGTGGCACATTTGTGAGACCATTGTACTTTGAACACAGGAAACTGAATTTGATTCCTAGCGATGGTCTACTATCGTCCTGACCAGCATGGTGAAGTATGGGGGGGGGGGAAGCCGATAACCAACATAGCATGAGGAGGACTTCATTGAACAGTGGATTGACCAAGGTCTGATGAATGAAGTCACATTGTTCTAGAGAGTATTATCTTGAAATGAAAACCACTGTAAACTAGCTAAATTACTGTAGTTCCAACTAAACTGATAATACTCGAAAGAAATTATATTTGGGTCGTTTAAAGGCAATCTTAAAATGTTTATTCATGTTATTAGTTTTATTATAGCGAATTTTGTTATTACTGTATAAGCACATTGGAAGTAAATATACAGTATCTCACCATCACGTTTCTCCTATGAGGCCGAACCGGAGAACACGTGGCAAGTCCTGCATTACTGCATATACAATCCTTGTTGCTGCATTTGGGCGTTAAACCTCCAGATTAACAATAGCCGTTACAGCAGGGGTCTCAGCATTCAGATATATGTCTGTGCTGTTTGACGACTGAGTCACGTCCCCTTGACTGAACTAGTTTTTTTTTACAATCTAGTTGAGCTATTTTTGCTCTATTCTATCGTTGTGGTAAAGTCACTTTACACAAAGGTGCTAATCGGCCTGAAACAAGAGATTGAAGTGAAATAAAACATCAGGATTTGCACAACTCATATTTTAAAACTGTTTATTGGAACTGAACATTATAGAACAGCTGTCTTTCACCTAATGTTCTGTGTTTAACACATAAAACAAACTTTAAATAAAGGTAAGGACAATCAAAGAATAAAGTATATTTCAACACGAGACTGTTTTGTGTAAGAGGGTGGGGTTCGTGACGTTGCGAATGTTCAGTTGTGTCTACAGGTGTGTCTACTTGCGCAAGGCTGGAGAGGATAGAGGGGAGGTGGCTCTGCTGATGGCGAAGTGTGGAATTGTGCGGGGTGGCTGATGAGTGTTGCGTGGGATGAAAGATGCCCTATGTGGTGATAAGAGGCATGCGTGTGAGCTCATTGCCCGAGTCATGTAGGTTGAATGGATGGTGTTGTGCTGAAACGAGGAATAGCATGATATGATAGGTGGCTGTTCTATTTTGAGAAAATATTATTTATCAGTTCAATAGATGGGTGTTTATGTTATTTTCAATTGTGAAGTGTCATAAGCTTAGTTACACACATAAGTGTAAAGTAGTATATGTAGGAAACTAGTGAGATTTGACTGTGGCGAGATGCCAAAAAAGGCACGTTTCTCGTTTGAGTGAGATGGAGCAGCCATTATAAAAATTATGAATGTGGGAATACAATTTGATAAGACAGATATGTCCAGAAGGCATGTTTCTCTAATGTGCGAGGGTACATTTAGGTGGAAGAATTGTGTGTTGTTTCACAGATTTCCTACTGGACAGATGTCCTACGGGATACAGGAACACCTTGCACTTCCGTCTGGTTAGGGACCAGAGCATGGACGAATGTCAAAAATGGACGAATGTAAAAGCAGAGCCGTTATTTAGTTTGCAAATGTAATTTGGCCGGCGAAAAACACATGCAAATAACTACAGTAAATATAAAAACGCGCATGCAACTACAGTAACTATATAACACATGTGTGCGAAACATAAATAAACAGAAAAAAAAGAAAAATAAACATAAGAATTGTACTGTTGTGCGAGGTACGCCTAGCTTGCGACTTACATCAGCATGGGACGTCTTGCTCATTAAGTTTGATTATGTCAAGCTTTTCTTGCAAATTGAGAACCTTATGGGTTCTTTTAGCTTTACTATCACCACACTAAGGACCCATTATGAATATATGAAAGCACAAAAAAAGTATTTTACAGTAATCACACAAATAATCACAGTATGAATACTGTACGCGTGTTTTATAATCACGAAAATAACTATAAACACTGTAGTATTATACTGTTATCACAAAATAACTATTGTGTACAGTATAATCACAGAAATAAGTACAGTATTAATAATACATGAATAAACACAAATATAAGAGATGCTGACTGAACGACTTCTATTCAAAGACTGAACGAAAAAGATGGTGCGTGACGCGGATGTCATGGAAGGTTTGGGATGAAATCGGACGAAAGAGGAAAACACGTGGACGAAATTTGAAATGGGGTTATAATTGAAAACGGCCAAAAGACCGAAGCGACGAAAGTCAAGGTATCACTGTATATGTGAAACTTAATAGACATCTGTGAAAAAAGAGCTTCATAGTTCATCGGATTCCTCCAGTCTACATTAAGATTATGATATGGTTTATGAATGTCATGGGCTCGGTGAAGTAGTAGAGGGTGTGAAGGTCCTGAAAGGAATAAAGGCCATCGTTTGACCAATTCCATTTTTCACTGCTTTCAGGTGGGATTTATTTTTGCATTATTCAGCCAAGTGTAGGTCATGGAAGTGCCTGAATTAAGATAATACAATGAAACTCATGTTACTCTGCATTTTTTGCATTTCCCCGTATTTATCATATACATTTTAGGTCTCATAAAGACGCAATAACAGCATGTAGAATTTTTCAATTCTACCGACCATACGTTTTCTGCCTCTCTAGTGAGTGTCAGGTCACTGCTGGTGGGATGTATGGAATTAAAGTAGGGAGATGGTTGGAGTAAAAGAAACAGACATGACCCGGAGTAAAAGAAACAGACATGACTTGGAGATATATTGAGAGGGAAAGAGATGTGGCGCGAAATTGCAACCCGAATAAAAAAATGTTTTACAATGTGCTATGATTAGCTTTGAAAATGTATATGCAGTACGTATAACGGATTCCATCTCGCAAGCTTTCCAGTTAATCCATACGTTTGACAAGTATGCAACTGTATTTTACAACTGAGGTATTGTTTATGTCAAATGCATAATATGGCACTTCACTTGTAATTATCAAATGGTATTTCAGCATAAACCATGGCTCTTCGGGTTGTTTTCTCCGTCGATATGCTTGCCAACTGCATTGTTCGCACAGTTTCATGCGATTTGCCAAAGCATGACAAACTAGTGCGGCAATTTCAGCACAATTTAATTAGGCTCAGCTGTTTGCCACTGAATTGTAAATGGTCACACGTGTAAGCATTGTTCTTCACTTTAGCTAAGAAGCTGAATATTTCCTCTTGTACAGTTGAATGAAGAAGATGACACACTTGTGAAGGTTGGTCGTGGGAAGGGATGAGGTAGGGATCTAATGGTCTGAGTTACAGTATTGAATTTGCCTTCAATGCTGCCAACCCATAGCAAGTATTGGTTGGCTGGGTTTCTGTCTTGTATTAATTGCAATGAACACAATATGCAGTATTGTTTGGGCAATGTTAAACATTCTTAATCCACCAAAACTGATGGAAGTAACAGGATTTGGTGTGTTTGTAGCACAAAAGGACAACATGTCCAGGTAGTGTTATACATCTCTTAGAAAAGAGACATCTATCAATCTTACCTCACCTTCTCAAAAGATGCAATGAAATTGTGTACGTAGATATTGTTCCTTTAATATGTTTTGCATTGTGACTTAATTGGTTATGCCTCCACAGTAAAAATAGACTTCTGACCACCTGTACTGAAGTATAGTGTAACAATCAATATAAGTGTCCTTGATAACATTTGAATGTTATATTTGTTGATGGGCCATGAATTGATCAGAGGAAAACATTGCATATGGTGGACCTTTGCATTGACTATACAGTATACTATGTGGGGGGAAAAAATACTGACTATAAATGTTGATGCCACTGTTCCAGGAGTGATCCAGCTTTATTGTTGGTGTAAGGAAATAAAATAAAATGGCCTTTTTTTCAAATGAAAACGTAAGTACAAGAACACTTATCTCAGCCTCTGGAATTGTTTTATTAAATTAGGCAACCTTTGAACGAGACATTGTTTTCAACTACAAGACAAATAATACCACACATCCGTGCATTTATTTTTTACTAGCTATAATATCTTCTAAAAGTACGTATTTACTGTATACATGTTTATCAACAAACTAAGGATTGCACATTAAAGGTGAACCACAGCAATTTGTATTCATGGCAAAATAACGCACACTTAAATATGTTCGTGGCTCTTTCAAATTGACCATATTAAAGAGGTAACCGAGTGGCTCAGAGGTTAGAACGTTTAACTGATACGGTTAAGGTCCTAGGTTCGAAACCATGCAGCAGCTCATGATTAAACCTCATTACTCTAGTCGAGTGAGTTGAGGTCTGTACTAAAAAAAAAACTAATTAATTTGTCATTACAACATTTCGCAGGGTCGGCGATCGAACCCACGACTCCTGCATACCAAGAAAGGTACTTAACATCTCACAAAGTCGGGGACTGAACCCACAAATTGTTGTATACCGGGCGAGGCAGTTAACATCTCGCAGGGTCGGCGATTGAACCGACGACCTCCTTGCATACTGTTAAAAATCTCTTCCACGGGGCATTATCTTATTTACGGGATGCACTGCTCTGTGAGGTTTCTTAATTTATTCGTTATTTAATTAAATGATGCTGGGGGAGGAGACCAAAGACATCTCTTAAAGAAAAAATCTCCATATAAAAGTTAAAAAGGGTAAATGTATGTATTGAGCTTATATGCAACCATGTAGTGTGCTCACTGTGCTAAAACGCAACTGCGTAAATAAGCCGTGTTTTTTTGTAAAGAACACGAAGGCTATATGGGTGGCCACATGCTGCTTAAGTCAAATTAAGTCAAGCATAGAATTACCTACGTTCACTGTAAGTTGGCGAAGAATCAAAATTCCCAACTAAAGAAACCCATCAACAATTCTAATAATACTGTAGTGAAAGGAATGTGGCCAACTGGTCTCTATAGTGGCTCATTTTGTGCAGACGCATGGCGACAAAGCAGGCGCTTTGTGAATGATGCGGGCAGGACTCTACTACACGGGATGAGCAGACACAAGGTAGACGCTTGCTGTCTGCATCACAATGTACAGCCAGGACTGTGCCATTCCATCAGCTTCAGAATAAAATAATAACATTAATAGGTCGGCTTGCTGGTCATGAACGATCATATACAGTGTTAAAATGTATGTGAATTTTACAGCGTTAAGATTAATTCTCCATTCGGTCTATTGAGCAGTAATTTTACGAGCCTGGCACCATGACGAACTCTAAACTTGAATTCCAACATACGCAACCACTTTTAATATTGCCGTTTCCGTTTTAATCTCCACAAAGTACCTTCTCAATAAATTATCTCGGTTACATATATCTTGTGGTTGACGAGGGGAGGGTTGTTAATGAAATGATAAATATATTAACATTTAGATTCTAATTATTTGCATCACACGTCGCATACCACATCACACGTGACGCCGTCTTGCCACACACCAATGCCTCCCATCAACACCACATCATGTACAATCACATTACTGCCAACAACCCCTTATCAGTGCCTACTTTATTACAGACCAAATTCAGACCTTATTGGTCAACCCGTGCCCTTGTAAATCTCAACATTAATTCTACAAAGTCTCATCACAAGGGTAGAAACACAAAGACCATTTTTGTTGCCCGTATTGAAACGGCTGTACGCCGTATGGACCTGAAAACTCGGCTATGCAATTACCTCACATCACACGCGAAGCCTTAAACCACTACACATCACAACATTACAGCCCAAGCAATACAGATTCTCTAATCACGCACAGCACACGAAGTCACGCACCACGTCTCAAAACCCATCACTTAGTACATCGCACACCGCACCATCATAATCGCACCCCCACATCTCACGCCGCAGACCCGACATCACAACCCCATCACGCGACATCTCAACCCCATCACAAGACATCACAACCCCATCACAAGACATCACAACCCCATCACAAGACATCACAAGACACCACAAGACATCACAACCCCATCACCAGACATCTCAACCCCATCACCAGACATCACAACCCCATCACAAGACATCACAACCCCATCACAAGACATCACAACCCCATCACCAGACATCACAACCCCATCACAAGACATCACAACCCCATCACAAGACATCACAACCCCATCACCAGACATCACAACCCCATCACCAGACATCACAACCCCATCACAAGACATCACAACCCCATCACAAGACATCACAACCCCATCACAAGACATCACAACCCCATCACCAGACATCACAACCACATCACGAGACATCTCAACCCACACGCCACCCTCCTACCATCGCTCGGCCTCCACCGCAGCGGGGATACACCACGGAGCGCCGTCGGAGATGCAGCCGCGGACCCCGTCGTTGGGACCCTGGGAGCCCCGAGGCCTGGGGGGGCTGCCCGGTTGTTCCCCGGGAGCCCAGAGGCTGGAGCTCCCCCAGAGGCTGGAGGGGGGAGCCCCCCCGGGGCTGCGAGGCGGGAGCTGCGAGGAGGCGCTCGGCCGCGCTGGCGCCTCCTGGGGCCGCGACTGCAGCAGGGCGCGATGGGAGCGGGAGGAGAGGGGAGCTAGGGACCGCGACGATTCACAGCGCCCCGGCGGTATGACCCCCCCCTCTCTCTTGCTGCAGCCGCGACACTGCGGGCGGGGGGGAGATCGCGTGCGAGTTTTTCCGAGCACTGAGGACGTTTGACGCGGTCTCTGCCGCGCTCAGAGAGCGGCCTCGGCAGCAGCAGCAGCTCCACGCTGGGCCGTCTGGGACGCGGCCCAGGCGGAGCTCGCTCCGGGGGCGTTCGTCGCGGGCATTGAGGGAACACCTCGGGGCAGTTCCACCATCAAAAATGAATGTGAGCCAATGTGATCAATTGGCGGCAGCGACGCGGTGATGGGACAATCGTGGGCCGGTTTCTGACTGGTTGGGACTCATCGGCACTGCGGAGTCTGCAACGGGAATGCGCCTTAGCCTCGGTGGCACGGCGGCGTGAGGGACGTGCCCAGAGCGACAGGCGCGGAAGAGAAACACAAAGACAGAGAAAACCGCACTGAGACAGAAAATCTTAACACATATAGAGCAACACAGCATGACGATGAGACAGAAAGACAGAGTCGAGAGACATTGACACACACACACAGACGCCAGGATACAACGAGATACTGAAACAGCGTCGGTGAGATCCACACAGATGCGTAAAGACTGCGATACAGAAAGACACAAGTCGAGACACCGAGACACACACGGTGATACAGGGACAAACTAAGATGATCAAGATACAATGATATGCATAGCTAGTCACAGCGACACATACGCAGACAACCACTCTCCCACCACCCCTGCCATGACCCTTTTCCCTGACTGGTGACCCATTGATTTTGCAATCGTGGTCCCACACAACCCAATTCCATACTTCATGCTCGCCCCTGGCCACTACACTACTGCACTATATCACTTCACTACCACTCCTGTACTTGCCTTTTAGACTTTACGCATGTCAGGATTTAAGGGGGAAATCACAATGGGTTGCGAGCCAAGTGAGATGACCAGCTGTTCCACCAGGCAGCTACAAAGTTGACTAAATGCAGACTGAATCCTTCCGTGACCTCTGAACCCAAATGAGATGAAGCTGATGTTCCAAGTCCACCTTAGACGGATATCTTGAGCAGCCTGAACACCCAGCTCCACCTTTAATCACACGCATTCTGTCAACATTACAGAGCATTGAGCCTCAACAATAAGTTAAATTCTGTGTGTGCCCAGCAGAGGGCTGTGCTGTAGTGATGGTTATGGTGTGGTTGGTGGTGACGGTGACTGTAATTTAGCAATGAAGATGGTAATGATGGTTTCGATGGTGGTAATGGTTCTAGTGGAGGTGTTGATGATGGTAATATGTATGTGGTCATATCCATTATAACGATTAATAGGATCGTGTTTTCTCATTCCTGAAATCCGTAAAGCGTGTCAGACTAGGGTGTATCTCCAAGCAGTGATTTGTGTTGTTGCATTATCACACAATTTCTGGACAGAAAAAGTCTAAATTTGTGAATGCTCTAATTTACATTTGGTTGTTTTTGCTCTCATTTATATGTCGCATTGTTGTACTTATTGCTTATGTAATTTTGGTCACCCAGGTCACCTTTACAAAGGAGACTCCCAAGCTCTCGGTTCTCTCGCCTGGTTCACGGTGGCTGCACCGGACGGCGCTGAGTGACGTGATGCATACACCTCACCTTTGTGACTCACGCGTTTCGTGAACGCGTGCGTCCCTGTACTCTGGCGGTGACGTCAATCTTCTAATCAGCAGTTCAACAGAATCCAGCTTTCACTTGAATTCTGTACTGTATGTTTTTTTAATATGCCGGCATTGTCAATATCACGATGACAAAGGTTGATCGTTCACCATGGTTTGATCCGAACATCTCTGAATTAATGAAAACTAAAAAAATACCTTGCAATAATGATAAAACACATAACCTTTCTAATGGGATTATCCATAGAACACTAAGAAATAGGTTTACTAGCCTAATAAGAAACGCTACATTTTCACACTATCATAAAACTATATAAATTCACAAATAACAAGACTTCTGGCAAGCATTCAATTCACTTGCAAACAAAGGAAAAAATGTTCTCCCAAAGAAAGCTGACTGAATGACAAAGAACTGTTCACAAAACAAGACATTGTCAATGGATTTAATTCTCATTTTGGATCAGCAGGACGTATCTGACAAAACACATCAAAGTACAATGTATCCAAATACACCACTATTCACATCACTCCTTCCTCTTCACACACCAACCATATGTTAGTGAAACTGTATGTACTGTAATAGCTCATGTCATTTAAGACCGTCATCCACGGGAGAACATGAGTTGCCTGCATTTGCACTTGTGACTGTGGCAGATCTAATATAGTAAACCCCTCACACATTTTAAACCTCTCACCGAAGGTGCATTTCCACTGGAGTGCTATTATTCTTACAATTTGTAAAAAATATATCCAAAGAAGACCCTAATAATTATAGATCAATCTCTATTCATTCAACAATTACTAAAATATTTAAAAAAATACTTAAATCACAAATAAACTGCCAACTAAAAAGTCACAATCTCCTGCATAGTAAATATTCTGCTTTTCGAGAGGATTACTGTACCACCACAGCAATAATGGACGTATTAAATGTTCTCTTCAGTAACCTGGATAAAGGTCACTGCTGCTGTGCACTATTCCTTGACTTGTCAAAAGCTTTTGACACTGTTGACCATGATATTCTACTCGCAAGACTTTGTCAAATAAAATTTTCAGCCAGTACAATAAAATGTTTTTTGAGTTACCTTTCAGACCGTTCTGAAAAGGTAAATAACGTCGTTCATATTAAAATAACAGGATGTTCTAGAAGGTTCCGTGCTGGGTCAAATTCTGTCCTTATATTTATACAATCTTGAACTCGATTAAAATCGTTCAGAATTAAATAGTTTTGCGAGTGGCACTGTTTTACGAGTGTAGTGAAATATCGCTGATTGTTGTACAGCAGCTGCAACTGCAGGTGGGCACTTAGCACACACGCCGCTGAGCATATACATTGGTGTGCCGGCAGGGTGGAGGAACTGCGTCAAGGGTCACGGTAGACCTTGTGGTGAAGCCCCTGGAACCCTCTGGTGGGTTCGAGAAGGGAGGTGTGGCTAGGGCGGAGCCAAGCCGCGCCGATGGGAATATAAGCAGCTGAGAGCGAGAGCTCTGGGCTGCCGATTCTGGGATTGGACTCGTTTAGTCGTCACTGTCGTCGTCGCCGCCTTCGTTGCTGTCGCCTTCACCCGATAATTGCGCGGCCGAACAGTAGTTGGCTGTCCCGGTCGACGCTGTCGGTGCAACGTGGACAGGGACGTGTCTGGGACAGGTCGTGCGGCAGCGTGGTCGTGAGAGAGAGGGGGCCCGAGTGGTGGCGTGAACTCAACAATAAAAGGAGGGGAGGACGGTGCCTCCTGCGACCACCTCGTCTCCGACTAAGTGTGTGTGCGATGCACGCCACCCGCACGCACACACAAGCCTCGAGCAAGAGAACGAAGAGGAGACACACGACACTACACTAGTATTGGGTATATCTCCAAACGAAGTCAAACAGAATCTCCAACACGATTTCGACTTAAATATAAATTGTAATCACTAAAATTGCTCCTAAATGCACAAAAATATGCAGTTTTTTCGTACAAAATTATTTTAATTCCCTTGACCTATTACGGATATGAGAAAAGATGTAATACTTGGGTTTACTGATTGATTCAAAGCTTACATTCCAATCCCATATTGATCATATCTCAAAGAAAAAATATGGTTTTTAAACAAAGATTATATTCCCATTCTCTTGTGCCTATAAATTGTTAAAGCTATCATTAAAGCTATCTATAATACATTTTTTTTGGGTGAAAATTCTACCACTTTTTGAATACTGTGACGCTCCTTACAGATCAGCTCATCCACAATTTGCAAACCCAAGAAACCTAAGGCGTCCAATCAAATTGCCGCTTAAATATACTGTACCTATAACTAGATTTTGAATAGGTGAGAAAGACTTTGATGTTTCAAATTATATCCTGAAGCAGAATATTAGTGCTGGATATGTGATTTGTAATTTGAAGCCTTACCCGTGTAGTATCGATAGTTCAATGTTAACGTGCCATATTATTGAGATTTTTGTGTGCTGTTATCTTGGTATGGTCTGGGACTGTTTTTGTTGTTATTTTTGCATTCCTATCATTGTTTGCTTGCTATTGTAACTTGCTGACCTGCCCGTACTGGACATCTGTAAAAAAGATAATAGATAATCGGATACCTCCATTCTAAATAAAGATTCTGATGATACTGTACTGAACTCTAGTGACATCATGAATGCCCGTTTTCAAGTTAAATATGTCCATTGTAAAATTATAGTTGTGAGATCGTTAAACCCGCCACCACCTGACAGCCAATTAGTAAGGTTTGTCACGTAAACAAAACGTGCCAATTAGTTACTAGCTCAGCACGAACCGGCTGCGTGTCGCAGAGTTAACCCACAACGACATTCGACGTTCCGACGGCGATTAGAACGCGAACACGCGGTAGGCGCTGTGACGTCACCACGCGGGGCGAGGGGGAGGGGTGAAGACGTCACGGGGGTGCCGTTTCCGCGCATGCGCGTTGCGGCCCGCACGCCGCTCTATTTAACTGCCCCCGCGCGGAACTCGGCGCGGCAGAGGGCGGCGAGAGACGCGCGAGAGGCACGTGAGGAGAGAGCGGTCCGGCGTCTACCCGCGCACTTCCACCGCTCCCATCACCTCCCGGCTGTCTCCTCGCCGACCTCTCGTTCAGCCGTCCGCGCGCCGCGATGGGATCGAAGGCGTCGTCGCTGCTGCAGGACGAAGAGATCGAGGAGATCAAGCGGGAGACCGGATGTGAGTGTCCCTTCAGGGGTCGCCGCGACAGGGCCCCCTGCGTTTGGTGTTGGTGCCGTTCTAGCGTGTGGGGGGGCTGGTTGTAGTGGTGGGTGGTTGTTGTTGGTGGTAGATGTTGTTGATGGTGAAGATGTTTGTGGTGTTGGTGCCGGCGGTTAGCGCGCCGCGCTGTGAACGCGGCGACCCGAGTTCGATTCCCCGCCATAGCCCGACACTTCAACTAAACCGGTTGTGTGTTGTTGGAGACTTGAGCCCACAACATTCGTGATTTACATTCGCAACCTTTACAATTCGGAGTCGAACTCTGGTCGCCGGGTTCGTAGCGCGGCGTGCGAACCGCAACGCCTCCAAATAATTAGCTCGTGTGGTGTGTAAACATCGCCACGAGGAAGTTTAATGCGGGTACGGTCGGGCGTGCTGTTGCCTTCATAGGTGCTCGCTAACAGCACTTGCCCCAAGAAGTCTGTGAAGGCTACACGGGGGAGGGTGTAGATGACGCTGATAGTTGTGGTGGTGGTTGTGGTCCAGTCAAGGTTGGAGGGTGGGCTGGGCTGTGGTTGTTGCGGTGTAGAGGGCAGGATCCGTGGCATGGGAAGGACTCTGGGTAAGCAAGGTTGATGTGGCACGGCCCATGATGGTGCCAGCCCTCTCTGGTGTTCAGTAGAGGGAGGGTGGGCTGTTGTGCCTTGGGTTACTGGGTTTATCTAGGGCCGAAGAGCAGAGTCCACGGGGGGCTTTATCACATTTGTCCGCTTAATTGCGCCTATTACCATCGTGGATGATATGAATGTACCAATATAACACTTGTCAAAAGCTCAGTGTTAAATATGTGCTATAAAGTGAGTTTTTTTTAAAATCATGTTTAACATGTACACCGAAGTGTCTAAATAGGCTGCAGGATTTTTTTTTTCAATAGGTCGGAGTGCTTTCTGCAACTTCTCGCCAGAAAGAGGCCCTTTGGCAGATTTTTTAACCACCTTTAAAGCCCCATCATTATAATATTACAGTTGAGACACAAGTAATAGCATACAGATAATATACTGTAATCCTAATAATCTGATTGCTTTGAGTAAATTAACAGAAGTGTATAATACAGTACTGTACTGCATTCCATTTCCATTTAATGGACTGTATAGGATGTCTTGTGGAGCTAACCTCTTCCCAAAGATGAGTTTTGAGTGTACGAATACTGTACAACATATATTTTCCATATGTAATGTCGATATGGTGTTCAATGAGAGTGAAAACTGAAAAGATTCACAATGCTGAATTGTGATTTCATTAAACTCAACAACTTTGTGATGGCATCTAGTGGGCCACATGGAGTGGTTTCCATCATGCATTTTTGTGGTTTCAAATGAATGCTAATCAACGTACATCAGGTATGTTTAATTTCATACTATGATGGTATGTTTATGGCAGAGCAAATTGCATCGGAATAAAACACTGTAAAATGTAGTTTGTGCAGCAGTATGCCGTTTTGTGTTTGTGTGGATTGGCCTCGTTAAATCTGTCCTGACCAGCGTCGCGAAGTATTGTAAAAACAACCTTTCGAATGATGTGGGGGAAGACCTTAATTAAGAAATGGACGGACAAACGGCTTTAAATTCTAGTGGTATATATTCCGTATCTGGGTTAACGTCTGGTGGCACCCAATAATAATTATTTATAGTAGAAATGCTTGAGCCTTGTAGATAAATTCCAGCAATGATTAACATTTTTAAGGGAGCCATTAGGCCACTAATGTGACGTTTTACGTCTGTTCATTCATGGCCACTTAAATGTTTTCACAAAAACGTATGAAACCACTAAACCATTTGCTTGGAAGCTTACATCCGATAAAACTACTCTTTCCCATGACCTGGCTGTGTAGAAAGGGGGTTGGATGAGGTTGGGTGCATAACATGTTTCATTTTATTAAAGGGGTGCAATAAGCAAGTTGGTAGCAATGAGGCACAACCCATTACCAGAAAGAATGTTATTCAAGAAAGTCTTCCCAAGTCTCAAGGCTTTTTAGAGGTCCTGCATTTGAATATTTTGACAACTTTTTAAAGGAACATTTTTGCATGGGGGGGGGGGGGGAGGAGAAATTAACGAATATTCACAGCCTTTTGTCAATCATCACTGCTTAAATGGAAGTGGCATACGTGGTATCCCAGGCATACGAGGGAAAACACTGAAATGTCCACAGATGGGGGTTCACAAACGACAAACCCAATTATTCTACTGAAAGCTGCTCGGTCAACTTGCACCCTTTCGAAATTAACATTTTCACGGATCAATAAAACAAATTTAATTACCCTTTTTCAAATAACTGCTGGATGAAGGCCTTTGCATCCCTTGTCGGCCATGGGGTTTGTTTATACTTCATTATTTTTGTAATTGTGAGTTTGTCAAAGAAGAGTTAATGACCTATTTTGATAATACTTGCCACTGCATGTTAGTCGTCTCCAGGAGAAAACTCGGGTACATTTATTACCACTTTTTTACATTTATATGAATGCTAACATACTTGCCGTTAAACCACTTTTACATCCCGAAGTGTTAAAGGTGTAAACAACAAAAAAATACTCCAATGAAAGCGATTCAAAGTGTCTTCTTTAGAAAGTAGTGTCGCCATTTCAACATAATGTAACAATCAACGTTTGCACAATCCTGCCTGATGGTGTTTGGTCACGCCAACTGCTTTAATGTGACGGCTGTGCACATGTTGTGTTATAGCTGGTGGATAGTATAAGCACTTTCAAAGTCACGGAAGGTTATGGATCATGCTATACTTTGAACAGGAAAGATTTGGCCATGATTTGATTATGCAAAAAGAATGTTGCATTCTTACACAATCCAAGTTAATAAAAAAAAAATTACGACGTTTTGGAGGCAACACAAGTCTTTGTCATCAGGTGGGACCGTCACAGCCAGATTTGCTGTATCAAGCGAGGCAGGGATTCCAAGATGCAAGTTCTTAAATACAAGTTAAGGGGGAGGAGAGGGGGGGAGCTTATCAGAATGTGGTAGCCAATGAATGGAACGTATTGGGAGGGGGGGGCGGGGCTAAAAGAGAGCACGAGGTGTACGTGGACATGTTTGTGCACAAGCACCTGTTGGTGCACATGATGGAAGAGAACGAAAATGCCCATGTTGTTTTTACCAGTGTTGGCTGACAATCAAATACGAAAAAGGAGAGTACTGTTAAACGCTGGGGATGTTAACACTCGGTAAAGTAAAATAGTGCCTGTCGGATAAGATGGTTCAAAAATGTGTAGTTAAATCTTTTTTGCATGGTTAATAACATCTTTCCAATGATTACTAAGTTTGTACCCATCATCACGGTTGAAATTATGTCTGTGTTTGTATATCTTAATGGCTTCGTGTACAAACCTTTGATGGTAGCCAGAGGGTTTGCAGAGCACCTTGGTCTCGGAAAAAAACAATATCATGAGAGCCCACCGTGTTGTAGCAATGATCGGCAACGGCGGAAGACTCAATTTTGCCGTGTTTCTAATCTGACTTGTGCTCGCGGACACGATCAGAGACATGATGTTTCGTTTCCCCAATGTAACAATCACCACAGCTGCAACTCAGTTTATAGACTCCAGGTTATTGCAAGTCAGGGATGACATCCTTCACAGATGGACTTGGATCACGGATTTTATGTACTGTACTGAATCGGACTTGGATCTTATGTTTGTTTAGAATTTTGGAGATCTTTTTGGTCACGCCTGCTATGTATGGCAACGTGATAGTTTTGATCGGAGTTTCAAGTGGCTGTTTCTGTATGGTGGGAGAAACAGCTTGAGTATCCGTTCATCCCGAGGGCCCGATGTAAATGTCTTAATTCACTGGCCAGGTGGTGTTGGTCAGAAATGCCATGAGCTCTGTGGTATAGCGTTTTGATGAGAGAATTCTTTTGAGATAGGCGGTGGTGGGAATCAGGTTTCAAGTAGGAATCTGTGTGGGTGGCTTTCCTGTAGACAGAATGTCCCAAGGATCCGTCAGGTCTCCTCTCAAACAGAATATCCAAGAATGGTAGTTTGCCATCTTTCTCCAATTCCATGGTGAATCTGATGGATGGGTGTCTGGAATTGATGTGGTCCAAGAAGTGTTTCAATGCTGGGAGGCCTGACTTGACGTCATCTGCCTCCATTTAATAATTTTATTTCGGTCCACCTTCAATAAGTGTTCTGAGTTACATACCGTGTGCTTTGTAGTTATGCCTTCTTAGAGATGTTTTAAGTTGCCACGTTAACTTAGAAATGTCGTCTTTTTTCTACTTTTTATCCTCAATCCCACTTTGCAGCCTTCCCTAAGGTGCCCTCCATTTCCTACAGTTCTTTGCTGTCCGATATGATATTGACTCATTAGCAAACCTGGGATTGTTAATATTTCTCCCAGATTTTACAGCACAGTATTTTTTGCCTTTTGGTTCTTGAATCCAGTTTCTGTTAAACATTCTCATGCCACTTGAAATCACTTGACAAAATAACGTCACTTTTTCTGACCACTCTTGATATGAATTTGGTACCTTTGGCAATGTCAGTGTAGCTGTGCATATTTTTAAATTTGGATTTCTTATTTATAAATGTTATTAATGCAAGCCTTGGTTTTTGAGTGCTCGGATTTCTGCATCAATGTCCACCAAATCAGATGCCTCCTTTTTAGTCTTCAAATATGTAATGATTTTTGATGGTTATTAGTCTTTTCCAGAATCTGATTGCATGTATGTAGTCATTGCTCCTGTGGGGTTGGTTGTCCTCTACATTTCCTGTTTGTTTGTTTGTTATTCTGTTCCCAATGCTATTCACGAATAACAAATGTACACAATAAGAGACTAATGGATCTGTGTGTGGGATCTAAAAGTGGTTTATACGGGCAAATATTACCTACAAATAATAATTTGGTGAGGTCCATTTAATTGTGCGTATTTCCATCCGTTTGTGCAGTTACGACGAGCCAAATAACACGCCTCTACAGCCGCTTCACCAGCCTGGACAAGGGGGAGAATGGTACCCTCAGGTGAGACCCCCCCCCCCCCCCCCAACTACTCGGCGTGCCTCTACTCAGGTTAGCGGCTCTGATGTGTGACCCTAATGAGCCTGCTGTACCTACAAAACTGGTTTTTCTCGTTTTTATTAATGCCTCCTGATGCCATAACCATTCGAAATTGGATTCTGCCATACCAGGAACAGCTGTGGAATGGCCCAAGTGTAACAGCATCACCCCCAGGTCCCCTTGTGAGATGTAATGATTCACCCTGCCCCCCATATTTGTTGTTGAAGTACATTGACATTATTTTCGTGTTTATTTTTTAAATATATTTTTGTTTATCTTGCACTGTCTAGTTTTGTTTTGTTCTATTAGCATAGAGATGAGCCATGTAATTTGCTTAATTTTCATAAGTTGTAAATAATCGATTTCTAAGAGGAATTTATTGATGCAAGTGTCCTGAGCCACAATAATCCAATGTTAATCATTGGTTCCATACCGACTTTAGGCATTGAGATCCTGTTTTCTCAGACCCTCATTTGATCCCATTTCATCCCACCAACCGCTCACTCTCCACCTTCCCACATCTTTCCTTTCTCCCAAACATGACCAAGTAACGAGGAATCCAGGCGAGGTCGTGATTTATTAATTCACAACTGTAGCTGCTTATAGCGGCTATTTTAGCTGAGCGAAGTCCTCGATGCCATGGTCTGTAGCTTTCCTTCTGACTGTGACATCAAATTTCTGGGGTCGTTTCCACAAACCTTACCGACAACCTTGGCTAAGCAAGCTCGACCTTCTGTGGTGGGTTGGCACAACTTTGTGCCCACGACCGGGGCATGGCGTTGCTCAGGCCTCAACATTGCTGAGCACAAGGAGAGTTGCATCCCCAACATAATACAGTGGTCTCATCCCTTACATTTTGCTACACCGCTACTCTGCGTGCTTTACACTCCCCCCCCCCCCCCCCCACTGTCTCTACCATCTGTGAACGAGTGTCCAACCCCCAGGAGGAAGCACCTTTCCTGTGTAGGAAACTGGGTGATGTCCAAGTGGGTGGTTATTGGGAAGTAATGCTTTTTTAAAATCTTTCTTTTATCCAAAGTTTCATGTAATTGTGGGTCATCTTAGGCTGTATTGGGTGACACTGCACCTTGGTGCTGTGCTGACCCAGTGACATCACAACACGTTTCTGTGAAATCTCCAACTGGTCATTCTCCTTGCACCAATTCCCACTTTAAAGGGGTAACTTCTTAATGTATTAATGTGATATATTCTATTGTAAGGCAGTGTTAACAGCGAAGTTGGTGAATTTTATTTTTGCAGTTAATGATGGTTAAATAACAAGGTGTAGTTGAAGTTCCTTGTTCAAAACTGTGGGCTTTAGCACCATTGCAAAACACAGGACTGTTGCGCCAGTACAATATGGCTTACAATGTTGCCTTGAAAGGAAGTGATGAGAACTAATTTGGTTATTACAAAGGACGTTTAAATGCCATTTTATATTTTTCCTTCATCGCAAATGCGTTGCAATTAAAATTGAAGTCAATAAAAATGGAGAGTAAAAAATGAGAACCTGCAAAAATATAGAGTCTGAAAATCAAAATATAGGACGATTGAAACATTTTGCAATGATGTTGGGTAAATGCGGTGACTGTGGATCTGCTTGCTCATGGTGTGAATTCTTAGCTAGCTTCCACCAGAGATTCAAACAGGAGTGGCAATGCACACATCCAGACTGAACTTGGGATGTTGGAACTCATGTGTAACAAGGTTCCTGTAGGATTTGCTGGATAATGTAGGCTTCTCGAGAGCTACTAATTTACTACATTTTTGTAAATGAAGTCAATGGTTAGCCAGGGACATTTGGTGAAACTAGCTTACCATTTGAAGTCTGTGTAGTCTCGTACAATAAGTGTTGTTTTATGACTGCAAATGCTTTTTTGATGGTAGTAAAAGGTTTACTGGTAATGCCATTCTTTAATGATTATGTTCGTTTAAAAAGTCACTTTGAATATAAAATGCCTTTTCTCTGGTCGTTGTGTGCACAATTGCATGGCGATGTCGCATTTGTAAAAAAATGGTATGCGTTGAGTTGTAATTACACTATAGACGGTTATGACCTTGAGAGGTTCCGGATCAAGTGAATAGGATCTGTTCTTTACCATTTGCCAACAAACATTTAGGGTACAATGTGTTTTTTCCACTCGTTTTACTAACATTGTTAATATCTGTTATTGACAAGTTGCCAATAACAAACAATAAACACACTAAAATACTACGGTAGATGATAAATTATAGCATTTTTTTTGTTATATAGTATCCCTCGTAAACACTGGTACATTGTTACAGCCCTATTTGACAATCCACTGCTAGAGCCTCATGGCCGTGCGAGTCATGGAGTTATTCGACCAAACTTCACGCTGGTCAGTGCGAGTTGGTGAAGCCAGGGAATAATAGATGTTGCCCTTCTGGCCTGTGCTGTACCCTGTAGCCTTGGGGCTACAGAACATTACACACTGAACATTAGAGGCATAATTGAGTATAACAAATATTCCTCAATGAGGCTCTGGTGAGTGACTCGTAGCAGTTGTCGGGTTGGGAATTAATCCTGGTTAGGGGGTTGACTTGGCCCGTCATCCCTCTGGATCTGTTTCAAGATTTTCACTCCCAGTCTCAGTATGCTGCTTGGAATTACTCCTGCCTCTCGTATCTCATCCTCTGTGCTCCCCTCTACGCACACTGCTTCAGCAACCAAGGTTTTGTATTGATGCCAACAATCAACATTTGCTGCATGGGAGGTCGCTCACTTACCTGTGTGTCCCTTACAACCTGGAACTCGCTTATGCCAGTCGTCTGTGCTGTTGATTTCCTACCTCTGTTCATGTCCAGGCTCAAAAGACCATTTTTTCCCCTCTATCTAGCACTGTCTCATTATTTCAATAAAATAGGCGCATTTATTATTGAAAGTGTCTTCAGACGTAGTTACATTTAGATAAAATATAAATCCAAATTGTCTCGTATTTCTCTTTTAGTGCCTTTCTGACACTCCATTACGACACGAGAACCCACAAGTAACATCAACTTGATGTGTTTTAAACTTTCACACCTAAAAATGATGACCTGCAGTATAACTTTCACGTGGTGCAAATTAGTATTCAACTGGCACAGAATTTGGGATGTAAAATCGACGCCCTCTTCTTGGGCCAATGAGATTCAGAGTTTGTGGTTGTGGGCAGGAAGGCCACGAGTGTATTGCATAACTCATGCTTTGTTTTGTTTCGTGAACATAATATACAGTACTTGGAAAAAAGAGAATGTATAAGTCGAAGGTGTGGACAGATTAGGCTTCATCTATGCAAACGATTGTATGCATCCAGTTGCATAATGTGAGAGTAGGTATACACCCCACTGTAGTCTTTGTACCACAGCTGTTGCAGCTAAGCCTATGACTTGTCTGTCATACCACGCTATATTGACAATGTACAGCAATACAAATCCTCTGTATATTTGGCAGGCACAGGTTTCTATATTTATCCGGTATTTTTATACAGATACCAGAAATATGTTGCAATGACATGGCACATGTGAGCGTGTGGGTTAGATGTTATTATGCACACGTTACCTCGCTATTTATGGTTATTGCAGTTTGGTTAAGTGATTATTTAATTACTCGGTGTGAATGCACGCTGATTATGAGCTTCTTGGAGTAGAGGTGGGAAATGTATTTTTATCCCGCAGTTAGATGTATTCAAGCAGAACAATGTCCTTCCGTGTGTATTGTCATTGCTGGTGCTACTGATACACTTGGGCTACACTCATCTCCAAACCTCTATTAACAGTGTGAGAGACATTGTTCTTCCATACCAAGAAAACACCATTGCACGATTTCCTGGCACTAACAGAGCATACGATGCCCGACAATAACACATTTTCCTTTCGCAAGGCTAAGATGGGTACCACGTCAAGATTCCTCCAATTACAAAGCTGCAGGACAAAGACATCCTCACAAAACTGTCTCCTCTAAAAAAAACTTCTATTCCTTCGTGGTCATGGACAGAGGAGGAAACCACATTATGGGGCGCCAACCTCTTTCACCAGCATGTTATCAATTAGTATGCCAACATTGAGAGTGAGCGCCTTCTTTACATTCAACTTAATCAAAACTGCCTGCATGTGAGCAGTATGCTCATCTCTGGGACGCCATCAATGCCGAAGGAGATGCAAACGGTCACAATGTGGGCTGATTAGTTATTTTGTATTTATCCTTCACAGCTCCACGAAGATACAGGCATGAGAAGACTCGGGATGCCATAATGTGCATCAGCCAATATTCCACGCCCCATCTCTTCACCTTCACTTGCAATCCCAAATGAAAGGAGATCCAGGTTTACCTTTATCCAGACCAAAAGCCACCAGACAGACATGATATCTTAGCGAGGGTCTTAAAACTCAGTTTATGACCTCATGATGCTATGATGCATATTACGACCGATGAAGGCGGCGTCTTTGCATAAACAAGCAGTAACTCGCACACCATTGGGTGGCAAAAACGTTGTCTTCCTCATGCTCACATTTCGTTATGGATGAGGGAAACAATTCACGCAAGTCACATTGACACATTTTATCAGTGCTGAGCTGCCTCACCCCCATTAAGACCCTGCTCTTCTTCTATGTGGTCTGCAACCAAATGGTCCATGGCCCATGTGGCCAGTTCTATCCAAATGTTCCATGTATGCAAGACCACAGGTGTATACCTAGAGGTATCCATGGAACTACTTGAAAGACACTTAGTCGGCCCATTATGGCTATCCTCTATATCGTCACAGAAATACTGAGCATGGTGGATTTCAAACAACGCTCAGACCTGCCACTAACTCGCTAATAAAGGTTCACAACCGGTGGATCATTCCCTACTGCCCTCTTCTGTGCAAGATCTTACAGGCCCACTTTAATGTGAATCTGCTATTTAAAAAAAACCCATCAAATATGTTTGCTAATACATCAACAAAGGTTCTGACATGGCTGTCTTTGCCTTGCATAACAGAGGGGCAAAGTGTGCATGAGCTCAAACTCTTTTTCCAAGAAACATACATCAGCAACAATGAGGCAATTTGCTGAATTCCTGGCTTCCCCATCCATGACCGTTCCCCCACAGTCAATTTGGCACTTCACCTCCAAATTGGTCAACGCATCTACGTCACCAAAGGAAATGCCCAAGTGACCCATTTGCTGCCAACCTGCTCTACCCATTAAGTTCCCTCCTATACATGGACTGCTCTAGTATTTCCTGCAGTTTGTTTTCTCTCTCTGTCTCTCTCTGCTTGTGTCTGTCTTTGTGTGCCTTGTCTCTCTCTCAAAATTTCACACTTCTAATTTAGCAATCTTTGGAAGCACGTAATCAACCAGGCTATGCGTTAATTGTGTTGACCGACTCTCAGTGTTGCATTGCATTACATTTACACATTTTGCTAAGTTTGTTTTGATTAAGTGTTTTCTCTGTCCTCGTGTTGTAGTATTTCCTGCAGTCACGAAAGCTCCAAATCTCTAATTGACATGCTAATTTCTCTACCCCCCCCCCCTCTCTATTTAAGGCCCTCGACACAGAGGTGTTGTTTCTGTGTGCCTATGTATGTGTGTCTCTCTGTGTGTTTTTGTGTTATCTCTCTGCTTATGTGTCTGTGTCCTCCGTGTCTATGTTTTGTCTCTCTCTCAAATTTAGCAATCTTTGTAAGAACGTAATCAATCAGGTAGGGTGTTGACTGTTGTGTTAGCCAACTATCTGTTGTATTGCATTATATTTCTAAGTTCACTAGGTTTGTTTTCTCTTTCATTTTTGTACCTGATGATGATTGCTTGTGTTGCAATCAAAACGTCGTATGCTATTATTTAATGTAATTTTCTTTCTACGTGACTTTACCGAAAGAACCAAAGAGTAATTCCTGCAGTCACGAAAGCTCCAAATCACCTTTAAATTAGTAAAATTAGATATTTTTCTTTAATCATTTATTACGGCCATACCAACTCGCGCACTTTCGGTGGGTGGGACGGACCATGCCAAGTCACACGCGTTCGGTGTGGGTGAGGGGGAAATTTACTTTTGCCTTAGAAATGCTATACAAATACACAATGCTGAGGCAAATTCTTCAGTGTGATATCCTCTTATCCCCCCCACCCCAATGCATGCAGTTACTGCTATTAAGTGTTATTTGTATAGCACTTGGATACTATTGTAGCACGGCCGGGGGGATGGTGGGGGGGGGGTAGTGGCCCAGCCCCCAGCCTGCCAGCTGGGCAATCTAGGCAAGACCGGGGGCTCTGCATGGGACTAGGCCTCACCACGCCACTGTCAGGTTCGTGGTTTGTGCTACAGTTGATATATACTGCTATGTGATAGCAGGTACCACAACAGTCGGTATGCCCTGCTGTAGTGATTCCAGGTACCACCACAGTCTGTATGCACTGCTGTAGTGATAGCAGTGCATATCGTCGATGTGTATGTGTGTGTTAGGCAATGTGTGTATGTGGTGTGCGTGTATAGACAACTAATATTTAAAAATTAAGTTACTTATTTTCACAATAATAATGCGTGTGTCCAAGTCCATGTGCACGTGTGGGTCGATGTGCGTGTCTGCAGCGATGTGTGTGGAAATCGATGTGTCTGTGTGTGAGTCGCTGTGTGTACGTGGCTCCATGTCAGTCAGTGTAAGTCAATTTCTTTGCGTGTGTGTAGGTCCATGTGTGCGTGTGAGTCTGTGTGCTTTATTGACCTGATCAAGGCCTATGATACCATCAGTAGGCCTGGGCTCTGGGTTGTTCTTTGTGCTTTCGGAGTCCCTGACCCTTTGCTCACGATCATTATCGACCTTCATCATGGTGAGCGGCCCCGGGTAAAACTAAGTGGCCGGGAGTCGGAGCCATTCCCTGCACACCTTGGGGTGTGACAGGGATGTCCTCTGCCTCCCACATAATTTAACATATATTTTGACCACGTAATTCGTGAGGCCTTCAATGGCTGTACCGGAGGATTTTCCATCTGGTACAGATCCAATGGGAGGCTGATCGATGCCCGAGTGCGGTCAAGGGATGGCTCCCTATTGCTCAACCATGTTATGTATGCTGATGATCTGCTGATTGCTGCTCACTCAGAGGAGGAGTTTGAGGTGCTGCTGCTGAACCTGGAGCTTGCCACTAAGAGGTGGGGCGTTACCATCAGCCCCACCAATACCAAGCACCTGCCTGGGTATTTTGTACCATCGGACAATCCACCCCCACAACTCACAATTGGTGATGGGCCAGTTGTGGAAAGAGTGGAGAGTTTCGCATACCTGGGCAGTGTGCTCATGACCGGCTCCAGTTTAACAACAGAGGTCTCACTCCAAATCAGTCGAGCGGCATTATCTTTTCATCGGTTGCGTAACGCTGTGTGGAAGCTTACCTGGTCTCTTGTTCCACGCGAAGCTCCAGGTCTCCTCGGCTACGGTCATTCCCTCCCTTTTCTACGCTTGTGAAATGTGGACCCCCCTAATGGAACATCTTCGCCGGATAGAAAAATTTAGGCTGGCCTGCCTACCATCCATCCTCGGTTTAACCAGACTGGATTGTGTGAGAAGCTCACAAATCCTTGAAAGATCTGGACAAAGTCTCATCGGTGAGCTCCTACGGCAGGCAAGGCTGCGTTGGCTGGGCCATGTAGCCCGCATGTCCAGCCACCGCATGCCCAAACAGCTTTTGTTCGGCCGAATCGAGGGGGCTAAACGGGCGCGGCACGGGCTAGACGAGATGGAGTGATGTGGTACAGGAGGATGTGGAGCCGAGTGGACTTGCCGATGACTGGTACCAGCGGTGTCAAGATCGGCCTCTGTGGAGGAGGCTCGTGAAGGATGCTACTGGGCAGTTGGAGGCAGTCGTCCTCCAACAACAACGGAGGGCGGAGGAGCGACGCTCGAAACAACGAGCGGAGCGCCGTGTGGCTAAGCACAGCAAGTTGGAATAGTAGGGGGCACAGGTGGTGCATCAGCCAGTAATCTCAGTCAGTCGACCCGTGGCACCTGGGTCTGCCCCGTGACCTCCTGCCAGCGAGTGTTCCACACTTCACGTGGCCTCAATGTGCACATAGCCTGGCACAAGCGTCATGGTGACGTCAATGCCGCTTAGTGGCAAATGGCAGTTGTGTGTGTGTGTGTATACGTACATGTGTGTGTGTGTGCGTAAGTCCATGTGCGTGTCAGTCCATGTGTGTGTGGCTGCGTGTGTGAGTCTGTCAGTCGGTGTGTGTGAGAGTCCATGTGTATGTGTGCGTGTAAGTCGATGTGTTTCTATGTGTGTGGGTCAATGTCTGTGTGTAAGTCGATGTGTGTATCTGTCTTTTTCACCCGGGCAACGCCGGGGTACTTCCAGCTAGTTGCATATAAGAGTCTCAATGTTGTGTAAAAAGTTGCTTTGCCGATTTGCTCCTTTTTATAAGGTTACAAAGTAATTTCAGATTGAAATTATCGGTATTTACAGACAACCGCAACACTACACTTGCTAAGGCAGGTAGTAGCTTTGTCGAGTGAAGGTTGTATTTTGTACATCTGTGCCATTGGTTTGAAATTGTGCGTGTGTTTTTTTTATGTTTGTGCAGCCGAGAAGACTTCTTGCGGATTCCAGAGCTAGCCATAAACCCTCTTGGTGACAGGATCGTCAATGCCTTCTTTATATGCGGGTACGTATGTACAACATGTGACTGGATTTTACGTATGCCGTCTGAAAGTTTTCTCGTAAATCTTGTCACTGCATGTTATGGAAATATTTTTTTTATTTTACAACCTTGATCGAGAGTCGTATTATGCACAACACAAAATATCTATCTTAATTTTGGAGCTTTCGTGACTGCAGGAATTATTCTTTGGTTCTTTCGGTTAAGTCACGTCTAAAGATAAAATAATAAATTTAATAATAGCATATTACGATGTTTCGATTGCAACACAAGCAATCATCATCAGGCATAAAAGAAATGGCAACAAAAATCTAACTAGAAAACTATAGACAGACATACAAGCAGACAGACATCACAAGGACACACAGAGAGAGAACACATATCGGCACAAAGAGAGAGGTCGTTTCTGTGACGGGGCCTTAAATATAGAGGGGGGCGGGGGTGGAAAGAGGGAGGGGGCAGAGAAAAAATTAGCATATCAATGAGTGGACGGCAACGTGATACTGCAAGTAAGATGACGACGCGGCACGGCACGCAAGCTTGAAAATCAGGAGAAAGACACACTAAAATTAAATAACCTAGTAAAATATCGAAATGTAATGCATTTTCAAGCTTGCGTGCCGTGCCGCGTCGTCATCTTACTTGCAGCATCACGTTGCCGTCCACTCATTGATATGCTAATTTTTTCTCTGCCCCCTCCCTCTCTCCTCCCCTGCCCCCCTCTCTATATTTAAGGCCCCGTCACAGAAACGACCTCTCTCTTTGTGCTGATATGTGTTCTCTCTCTGTGTCCTTGTGATGTCTGTCTGCTTGTATGTCTGTCTATAGTTTTATAGTTAGATTTTTGTTGCTCTTTCTTTTATGCCTGATGATGATTGCTTGTGTTGCAATCGAAATGTCGTAATATGCTATTATTTAATTTATTGTTTTATCTTTAGACGTGACTTAACCGAAAAAACCAAAGAACAAAATATCTAATTTGTACATGCCCAGGAAGGAATATATATTAATTCCTTTATTGATTTCTAATACAGTTAAACCATTGTTGCTTTTGCCTAAGGAACAATTATAAATGCTATAAAACAATACATGCTTTTATCAGATTCCTATAGTTTTTAGACCTGACAATAATTTAAAATATTTAAATTGGAAACGTTCAAATATACCAGTAATGGCAGTACACTGGTGCAGCAGACCACACCGAATCTCATAAACAGTTCTATAATAATAATTTGAACTGACGTTCGTCTTCTGACTGTTTCGACGTCACGAGAACTGATTTTGACACTCACCCTGGAAGATTATATGACCAGGGTTGCGAATCGTGTGAAAATAAATAATAACGCTAAATATTAGATTTTTTTGTTATACCGCACGCCGGTGTACAGTCAATAATTCCAAATATGAACAATACCCACTCCCACCACCCCCACCTTTGAGTGCTAGTTGCAAGAGTAAGCCATAAAGCTGAGCACATAAGAGCTTCGTGTAACGGAGTAAACTGAAAACAAAATGTTGATTGAAACTCAAAGTTCAGACAACTTTTGAGGTCTGAGTCGCTCACTCTACCGAAGAGTCACGTCAAGGAATATTCGTTTACCACTATAACGGTATCCCACAACTAAAAATCGCATTAAATACTAACACTGCTTTGGCTAGAAAGTATAATAGTTGATGCGTATCACATTTTCCATGGCTTTTTGCTTCTGCAAAAGGAAGGGAGCGATCACGAGGTGTTAGCTTTGGCGGCATTGTTGGTGACCTCTTGACCTGTTTATTCAACAATGTTCACATTTTATAATAGTACAACCCTAGGTTCTGTTGCATTCCTGCTCCATAACATCTGTGGAAACATTTACCTATTTTACCTCTCCTTTGTTGACTCAGTCTAAAATGACCACCTGATGAGATATAAATACTGCACTGGGGAAACGTGCCTATATAGGCACCCTTTCATGCCTGCTAGTCTTTGTGGATCTGAGATCAGCACTCCTCTCCATGAGGCCCAAATGGAGGGGACCGTGGTCTTTTTATTGTCGATATACTCGTGAGTGAGTGGTAACAGTGGTTTTACCCGTTTACTGCTTCCATTTAAGATTGAGTAACCCACATCTGCATGGCGGTATAGGCTAATTGAGTCACAGACCACAGCAGATACAATACTCTTTGGAAGCTCCCACCTGCCTCCCCATTTAGAATTATTTTCAGCATATACATTTACAAAATTCTGCAATCATGCAAAACTGAATATATAGGTCAAGGATGTATGTAGAATTTGCGTCATGTGCATAAGGCATAATAATTGCAACCTTATTAATGGATTCCAAAGCGATTTGTGTATGTAACCAGGCAACTTTACTGATATCAAATCATGTTTAATTGCTTTTATTGTGACCTTAAATAGGCAGAAGCCATGAAAACTACAGCGGTGTACCAGTTTCACGCTTGTTGGTGATCATTGGCACGGCCAGTGTGATGTGGGTGTCCTCTTTACCTTGGTATGGGTATGGGTGCTGAAAGCAAGCATCGTCTCCACTCGGTGGTTAATGGTATTACGCAGGAGCTCACAAGGGGGCAGCACAGCCACGAGGCACTCCAATATCATAGCACCTCTTTATTCTCGAAACGAATGCTTATGTCAAACCATGAGCACAAAAAATACACGCATAAGGCCCATCCGTAGTCGTGAGACTACAAAAGCCAATTAAGTGTCGGATAGCAGCTGTTGTGGTTTATCAGAAGCATCTGTTTCACTTTTTTGGGCTGTCCCACTAATATTACCGATCGGCATGGCTGTGTAATGTGACATGTCAAAACCAAGATAAAGAGGTTTCAACATTTTTATTTTATCATAAATGTTCCAAGGCCACAAATTAATCATGGCGTTACGTACAGAAAATATGAATCTTAGTTTATCACAATGAACTCCTGTACATTCGAATTGTACACACTATAATTTGAACGTATATGAGTTTTATGTCTTTATTAGTGGAGTCATTTGTCGTGAAAAATGTATATTCGTGCAGTATTTTCATTGTTTAAGTTGTATGTATATAATGTACTCTGTAATATTTGACGCTTAAATCCAGCAGAGCTACTTTTTATTTGTCGCGCACATGGTGCCGAGTGCTGGACTGGTTCAGCATTTGGAGCAGTTTTGCCGGTTTGGCCGGATCGGCCCAAGACCACCGTATAATCGCGAGGTGCCGGATAATTATAATCCATGGTCAAATGTAGTCTTTCCAAAACTGTGTTCATTCAGTTCACAAATCCTCTTGGAATTTCCTCTTTAAAATATTGGTCATTACACATCTTAGGATCTGGAAAATGTGCTTCATTGAAAACGTTGTGCAATACTGGAATTGTGATTGACCTATCAGCTCTGGTGCTCAAACTTGAATTGTATTTATGGCTATGCACAATGGCGGAGCCAGGATTTTCAGGTTGGGGGGGGGGGGCAACCCTTCCAACAATGAAAAATGATAGAGGAGTTGTTAAGTAAGGCCTTGTCCCTTGCTTTTTATTCGACGCGTGTGTGGCGATGGCGCAGCCATCGATCGAGGGTCAAATTCGAACCACGTTGTGTGATCGGCATCGCGCTCGCTGAAGGTGAATGCCTTCAGGGAAGTCGTGTACTGTATACGCAACTGCGCACAATTCTGAGTCACTTATAACTGCTTTGCCGTTACTTATTGCCAATTATGGACTCAGACTATTGTCCTATCATCTCATAGAGTCCCTAGCACATAATAAATATGCTACACAGTGGCAGTGGGAGTCGCAAAATGCCGATTAATTACTAATAAACCCCATTGATCCCATCGAAATTAGGGATTTCTATCAGATCATTGGGGGGGGAGGGGCACATGCCACCCCACCCCCCTACTGGCTTCGCCAGTGGCTATGCATATGGTGGGATACCAGTCTGTCTTACGGTCTTTGAGGCAACAAGATACACTGGTAACATTCCAAAGGTTAGTTATGTGATGTGAATTCTGAAAAAATAACACCTCTAACTGGAATGGAATTATTACGTTTCATGAGCCAATCCTAATGTATCCAGGAATGTAGGATGCTTTATTTTTCAGTGATCCTGGGTTGGGTAATTATTACCAGTCTTTGCGTAGTGTTCCTTTGAATTTGTAGTTTTCTCGATAAGTTGCTCGTTTCTGGACATGTTATATGTCTTCATTATTTTCAATCTCGAGTTTCCCATGTAAAACATTTTTGACCTTTGTTTTGTACAGCGAACCTTGATCTAAGGGTCTTCAGGGGAGGACATTTTACATTGTAGCCAAAAAACCATCAAACACTGTAAAGGGCACGTGTTTCCTGCCGTCTGTTTCTCCATCTCTAATTCTTTTTCAGGCTTGCTCACACTTCCTTGGATTCTTTATCTCCCTGCAAAGTTTTTCTCACTCCACACCTTTGTCCTGTCTGCTTCTCAATACCATTCAACTTTGGCTTGACCATTGAAAATGTTATGTATATTGAACTTGTTTCGCACTGTACATAGCCAACCTCACTAAACGGAGGTGTATAGGAAGGACCACAAACGAAACAAAAAGCAGTTCTAAAGAAATACATTTTCAATCGGTGGCTTCCTAATGATGGAAGGAAGAGGATTTGCAAATCGGTATAGATTCTTATCTACATTTTAAAATAGACCTACAAAAAATGCATGCTTTTCTGCCCCTTATTACCAATCCTTTTACCATTATGCCAATTGTTTGAGGGTGACGGGGTATGTAGCTTTAAAACGGTCTACATCCCATTGTCTGTCTGTTTTGCAATAATAATTATAGCAATTAAAACTGACTTTATGTCCATAACCTCGTCACTACTTATGTTTTAAGGGAGGACCAGGTAAATTTCAGGAGGTTCATGGCCACGCTGGCACACTTCCGTCCCATGGATGGACAAAAGAATGTCGAGGCAAACGAAGCACTCAACAGCCGCTCCAATAAGCTGAAATGTGAGTCCTAAATCTCTTACCCTGCCCTCCCTCGATACAACCGTATACTCTGTCGCCAAACATATGGATTTTTATTTTTTATTACTTGTGAACACTCAACTTATTTGGCATTTTGAAAAGTTTCTTTATGCATATTTTTGTCAGCTTTAATAACTGATTTGTCTGGTGGGTGTTAACCGTATTTGTGTCTGTCTCAACAGTTGCTTTTAAACTCTATGACCTGGACAATGATGATAAGATATCCCGCCAGGAGCTGCTCCATGTAAGGGATGCATTGAGCATTGTTCCAAATGTGTTTTGCGTTGTAATTCTTCTCAACCTTTTCCTTTCTCGGCACCGTATACAATGTGTACCTTTTTAAAGGAGACGTCATAAGGATAAACCATAATGTATTGCAGCTTGTTCTACAATACACTGCAGAATACGTTTTTGCTTTTATTCCTTTATATTGGGCGAACGTATGGTCGTACATGTCTACATGTACATGTAGAAAGGGCCAGGCTCAAACATACTCTTATATATTTTTTTACCAATATAATAAAATTAGAAATTATCATCTGAAAAAGCAATTTGAGTATTAAATGTCATTAAAGCTTGTTGATAAGAGCACGGTAAACGATACACATGCTCGTGTAAATATGTGCAAAACCGCATGCATGAATTTATGTGACGTGTGCAGAATGTAAAGTGTGTGTATACACAGAAACCAACACAGACGTGCGTTTAAATGTGTCTAGGTGCTGCGAATGATGGTTGGGGTGAACATCTCTGATGAACAGCTGGGCAGCATTGCTGACAGGACCATCCAAGAGGCAGACCAGGATGGTGACAATGCCATTTCCTTCACCGAGTTCGAAAAGGTGAGGCTGGAGGTGATCAGAGTAGTGTGGTCATATACAGTTTCCTTGAAATCGCTGGTGAGGATGTATGGGACACTAATTCCTACTCGGTTCAAATGGACTTGCATCAAGTCAACCATTCCAATGTTATGCTGTGGCCTAGCCTGGAGGCCCTAGAGGCAGCTGTCCCTATAAGGTGCAAGGTTTACACAGCAGTGACCTGCAAGTGACCATGTGTCTGTCAGTATGGAACATTGGTATCTTTATGACAATTATAATATTGACAGGTCTTGCACGACGCATAGACACTTACTTTCATGTTATATTATGCTTTATACCTGGAAATTCTCAAACCTATCTCCCTGGAGTTGAACATGGGTTTTTTGTGGGTTCGATCCCGACCCTGACACCAGCTGTATATTTGAAGTTTGCATGTGTTCCCTGTGGTCACGTGGATTTTTCTCCAGGTCTTCCGATTTCCCCCTTCCACATTTAGAAACATACGTTTAGAGTCTTTGGCTGCTATAAATTTCCACGTGATGTGACACTTCATTTAGCTATCATATGTGGCCAGGTTTATTCTGAAAAAATTAAGCTCTAAAAACAAAGTTTTTCACTAAATCCTTTATATGCGTGGCGGCTAGAGTCCTCTCGTCCTCTGGCTTGAGATGGCTGCCACCTATGGATCAGATGATTGTCTGCCACCATTAAGCAATTGGTAATTAAATATTTATTTATTTTTCCCTAAACAGTGTAAAATTATGGAAATTTCACGAAAATTGTCACGCACAATGAGTCTGTGTGCAAAATGTCAGCTCGATTGGATCACGGGAAGTGGGTTAAAAAACGACCGAAAGATTTGCACGGTCGTAAGCAAGCACGCAAGCAAGCAAGTGAACTTAATATAAATGATTTAAAAAGAGCTACACAGCTCGGTGGCCCTTGTCTAGTAAAATAAAAGAAATAGTTAAGTTTTTCGTTTTTCTCCCTTGCATAATGGTGTGGTAACAGCGTTCATCCAGCCCTGTGGCAGCTGTTCATTACACCATAGTGTTGCACCACAGCAGGATATATTGGCTCCAGTCTAAACAAATTTTAATTTTGTTAATTGCCTATGCAACTTTTATATTCATGCCATACGTGTCGAGAGGGAAAATGGACGATGTTGAAAGAAATAGATCGCTTGGTGGATTGACTGAAAAATGTTTGTGCTGTGATTTACTTATTTGCAGGTCCTCGAGAAAGTGGATGTGGAACAGAAGATGAGTATTCGCTTCCTTCATTGACACTGGAGAATTGGGGTGGATGTAACTGCACTTCCAAGTTATGCTGCGTTGGAAGTGTGCGATTTTTCATCTTATCCCTGGCTCAATCTATTTGAAAATTTAATTGTTCTCTGGCACGCATCTTTTTGTAAGGACAATCTGCTGTAAATTGTTTGTAAGGCGTGTTTGCCTCACTTCCATGGCAAGCGTGGTTCGTGCTGGAATCTGGCTGAGCAGGACCCAGGTGAATTCCATCAGTCCCTCCAAGCCTCCCTAGGTGATCATGTGACCCGAGTTGAGGTTGCATCTGGACGCTATATAAACCAACATTTTATTGTTTCACTAGTCTCAATCAAATTAAGCTGTTTTGGTCGAAAAATACATGAAAGTATACAGTCAATTATCCCCAAGGCTCTTGTAATATACCCGTTTCTAAATAAAAAATACTGTACGTTTTTTTGCCACCCTATGTAATGGCCAGCAAACTCCCCTACATTGTTAAATGCCTGCCCAGCTAAAGATGCACACTCGCAGGGTCCCTCTGCCTTCGTGGAGTCGAGCGGATGGGTCACTGGGGTGTGGTGGGAGGGGGGAGTGGAGGGACTAAGGCTCTGTAGTCTGAGTGAGCATGGCTACGGACTGGCTGTGGAAATGTGGTTTATACTTCTTTTTTGTGCTGTTCCAAAAAAAACACTGTTGGATTAAGATTGCCTTTAATGCCATAGCACTCATATATTAGTGTCTTGTTTTATTTTATATGGCGTTCAGGGATGTTGAGGATTAAGTCATTTTATCTTAAATCCTATTTTAGAAGCGTAACTAATATGTTACTACTGATTGTACACTGGCATGAATCATTTATAATTATGTATGCACACTAAGTCTATGCACTCTTTGCAGCATCAAGTTTGCTAAATCTACAAATTCTCATTACAGATGGGAGGGGGGTGTATACCTAGTTGTAAACACACTTGGTACCCTAAACACACGCAACATTGAGGGGTAAGCAAGAGCACAATGGCAACTGAAGTCTGCAAAGCGATTTTGCTTGGTGAAACTTGCTTGGTGAAACACTCGCAAAGGTGTGACAATTGCCTACTTTTTTTGTTGTTTAACGCCTGCGGTGTTTTCTCTAGGAACTGTCTATCACCCTCGTGTTTGCAGGCAACTCATCCCCAATAACGAAGCTGCTTTTTAAAAGGGTGTGCTAGGCCAATGACCAAATAATGAAGAATGCACCCAATCTCGTCAGATTTCGTCACTTAAGCAGCATTCAGCTCTGTGTTTACCCTTGGATGGGCGACTTATAAATAACAGGAAGTGGGTTGAGGTTGTAGGCCACCTGTGGGGCTGGGTGGTGGATGGTAGAGGACCGTCCAGTAAAGTCCGCTGTAGATTACAGCGTTCCCTCGTTATTCACGATGGATATGTACCCGAGATGCTTGTGAATAGAAAATTTCGTGGACAATGATATTGGCCAACGAAAACCTCATTTCATCACTTTCTCGCTCGATGCAGTTGTGTACACTTCCAGATGCGATTCACAGAGAACAAATGGTGAATATCAAGTTTGTGAATAATGAGGGAATTACTCTTTGATTCTTTCGGTAAAGTCACGTAGAAAGAAAATTAATTAAATAATAGAATACGATTTTTCTATTGCAACACAAGCAATCGTCATCAGGTAGAAAACAAACCTAGTGAACTTAGAAATATAATGCAATACAACACAGAGAATCGGCGAACACAACAGTCAGTACCTTACCTGGTTGATTATGTTCTTCCAAAGATTGCTAAATTTGAGAGAGACAAAACACAGACATGGAGACACATAGACAGACATATGAGTAGAGAGAGACAACACAGACATAGAGAGTGAGGGAATACTGTACACTATAGTGATACCCTGGTTTACATCTGGGATGCTTTCCTGAAATGTGCAACCACAAATATCGAAACGACGTCAAAGCTATTTACAGGGTAGGTGGTGGAGGTGAATGCCGAGAGGCGGTAGATATGCGAGAAAGGGCGGACGATGTTGTCGGCGATATAAGTGTGGGTTGAGGTGACGCAAATCGGGTAGTGGTATTCGTAAAGTGACGACGTATTTGTAAAACTCCGTAAAAGGAGCGAGGCGTAAATTGGGGGGAGTTACTCTTTCAATCTTGTCACCACTCTTCAACGTGCGCTGACCATCGTGGTGAAGTATATATTCACAAACATGCACACGTGATTTCACTTGGTTCAAAAGTGCAATTTAAAACGTTTATGCAGAATCGGATTAAGAAAAACGCTGGATGAACACTTCACCACTCGATTGGCAATTATGTATATAGTAACCATGGTTTTAAGTGGAAATTAGATTTTGCTAATTACATAATAGCGTTACCATTTGGTGCGCTTGACCATTCTGTAATGGGTACAAATGCCGCAGATTGGCATACATGGGATTGTGCATTGCACCTGCAAAACGTCAAATAAAACTGCATTGGCTACATGGGCAGTGATGTATATTGTACAATGGACTGAAAACCCTTGACCACTCATCATTAACACTGCCTTCACTCAAAGTACTGCATAGCAATAACCGATGTTTTGGTCATAAGAAGAGCCATATATTAAATAATCCATATGGTACTTTAAATTCCTTAGCATAGCACTCTTCGAAGAACACGTGTAATACTGCATGTATTTGTTGTCCTTCCTCCGTATAGCACGGTTGGCTATGTACGGTTCAAAAGAAGTTCAAGTATGTATATGCGTTCAAATGGTAACATTTCCAGGACATGTATGGTATATGCAATAGTTTGAGCGTTTATTAGATGCGATAGTTGGGTGCACTGACAGACTAAATACACAAAGCTGTAATCCAGATTGACTTTATGCCTACGAATTTTATAACCTGTGTAGTAAGTATATATGGAGGCTTCGACGACAGGATCGGAGGCACACTTATTTATTACACCAACACAGTCATTACAGGTCACTTGGCTACAGGGATTTCTCGACAGCTAACCCCTCTAACCTATACCAACTCCTCCACTACGGGACTAGGGGAGGCTATCTGTCCCAGCTTGGTTAAGCTGGGATCCCGGCTCCCTGAGTCACCAGACCAGCTTCGTCTGGGCTCTCGGGGCCACGCCACCGGCTTGCCCTGGTCGGCCCTTAGAAGGACAGCGAGCCAGGGGAGCTCCGGGGCCTATACTAGCAGGTCTTCGTTCTTCTCTGGTTAAAGCTGAGTCCCGACCTCGAGCCCTCGAGCTCATCACCTTTTATAGGACTCGCCCCCGAGGGGGGGCCCGTGGGGGATACACATGCGGACGTCGGTGCGAGCGCCACCCTTGTGTACGGCCGTAACCCCGCCCCTTGTGTTTGTTGGCCATCCGTGGCCATGCATAATCACACCTCAACATTCGTAGCCATGCGCAATTACACCTCTACACCTGTATAGCCTTTAACAATGCATATCAATCTACAATAAGCACATTAAAAAATGTGTGAAATGCAAACAATATTTAGTTTGCCCCCTTTATAAATGTTGTCACCATGTCTTAGGCTGATTTCTTCTCTTGGACACTTGCTAATCACTATTTGAAGCCATTAGCTTGGCTTGCTGATTCAAGGAAGCATTGTTTTGCAAAAATATTATTGCTACACCAGTGATTGTGTTGTATTACATGTCAATGCAAAGTTATAAACTCAAGTCAAATCTTCCCTGCTTATTTGAGCAATCGCATTGGGGAGCCTCCATTGGTGGCCCTAAGCCAGTTATGGAAATTTCTCATTACTATGGTGGGGACCAGGCACAATCGCATGGTTCTGATCTCAGCTTCTAGTCAAGTCAAACACTAACCACGGCACCACCCAGCCAATTATTAATGAACAAAAATAGAATTCTAAATTGGGTATCGGGTTTTTTATGATTATGTAATGTACAGTCTGTTCTCGTATAACGCCGTGTTTTTCACAACGCGAATTGGATATAACGAGTTGAATGTACGAGGGAACACGTTTTTATAACGCGGTTGCGAATTGGATATAACGCGATTTTAGGTGAACAGAACTGTCACGCAGCTACCACGGCGTAGCATTGCAAGAGACTGAATGCTTCAAGATGCTAGCCACGTGCCTCAGTCTTTGTTTGGCCTCCATACGCATCTCACATGCTGTCGCAGACTGTGCTTTACTCTTATTAGAACGCGATTTTTCAAAAACGTGTTTTTCAGGAACGCAGCTACCGCGTTCTAGGAGAACAGACTTATTTTATTGAACCGACTATTGTCAATTGATACATGTTACAATGGAATATTTTTGTCCTGTTTGGCACTCACGACAATATTATTGACAGTATTTGCTCTTGAAATGTCAATTTGTGCTTAAATGGAACCAGAACCATTTCAATAGGATTCTGTATTCGACCCGGAGAGATTCCCTTGGAGACTCGTGCTTTGTGGCGGCAGACATCTGTCACAAATAAGCGGTGCGCAGTAGTTTGGCAAACCAGTCCTCGGGCCTCGCCTTCAATCCACACCGATCAGCATCACGTATGGTCAAACTCCACCAGTGACAGAAACGGCTTGGGTAAGCATATATCCAGTGGTGGACAAAGGCCAGGGATGTTTTATTTTGTTGATTGCCAACAGAGCCTTGCTGCCTCTCCTTGCATGCTTTCACATTGGACATGAGCCCAAAACGTAATCTCTCGTGCCAGGCCTGGCTGTTAACTGAGCACAAGTGGCAGACCATGCTGGCTGTAGCGTGACGGGTTCCTTCGTTGTACATTGCAACGTCTCTTTTGTGCCAGCTCCCACCTCGATGGAGCCACAAATGATGGTTGTGTTGACTCAAGTTATGCATCAGTAACACAGTTGTTGCCTGCCTCTTTAAACTGCAGCACATTGTTGGCGTCTTGGTTTCCTATGAAGTGCCGTATTGCAATATTCACTTTAATTTCTGCATGTAATTGACAAGATTGAGTAATGTCTGTCCAGGGTAGTTTTGGGCGTTGTGGAGTTGTCCATGACGTACGCTTCACGTGCTAATGCTGACTTTTGAACACCACGTGATGGTGCTTTTTGCATTTGCCTTCAAAATGTTTATTGTTATGCTTCAATAATGGGGCTGGTGAAATGCTTAAATATCTTTATATTGTTAATAAAGAGTCGATAACAATTGATGGGCATTACTTTTTTTTCTCATTGTCCTGTGCTTTTAGCTTGTTCTATTTTTACAGAATATGATTGTACAATAACAGCTGTGCCTGCTTATGCCACTATACATTGCCATCGCTTCTGCTGGAGCTTTCGGTTGATCTCCAAGATCTGCTCATGCTCCAGCGATACGACGATGTCACATGGTGTAAGATCCATGATAATCATTCAATTGTTTAAAATGTCTTAACAATCCTTCCTCATTTTAACTTTTTAAGTCTCTGGTCACATCCCCTGGGTGCCACTCAATGGCTCTCTAACCTGCACCCAACTGTCACGCATTCGGAGCAACCTCTTACGCCTAGCTAAATCTGCAACTCTTGCCAGATTCTGAGCTTTAAAGCCACTTAACCCTATGCTGCTGCAAAGTTTCTAACATCAGGCATGCAGAAGTATCTAAAGACCAGAAGGAGTCCAGAATAATATGCTCCTGTCTCCCACGGTCCCACCTGCCTGAGCATTATGTTAACCTTTAATATTTTAAAGGGGTTCGTATACAGTACTCCATAAAAACCTGTTCGTCATCAATCTATTGATGGCCTTAGACCCCTGGATGAAACCTATTCCTTCCTCAAATGCCTTCACGCTCTAAGTTCTGACTGAAACCTGGGGCAAAGATGCGAGAGCCCATCTCCATCGTCAACTCGAGTATCTTGCATCGTGGTCACAGTCATGCACATCTAAATTGCATTGGGGTGTAGAAGCTTTGTTAAAAAATATATTTAATCCCACCAATCGTCAACTTCATTCCAACTGCAAAGTCTGCAATGCCCCGGCCAAGATTTAAGCTGACAAACCTCCATTATTTGCAAATGTTTTATCTCCGGTGTAAATGATCCATCTTTGTGTATGCCCCCCCCCCACCCAATTCATTTCATTATTCACCGCTTTACGAAATATACCTACAACATATTCCTTAGCGATTTGCTTGCCTTGCGTGAAATGCTTGTATCATTTATTTCCACAACCATTTTTATTCTTGCAACACAACTCAAAGACGAAGCATTGTTAGCCTAAAATCAACCAACCATGCAGGTTCTCGTGTTCCCTGCTAATCTGTTCTGCTCTGAGCTATTAGTCTCCCCTATGGATTATGTTTGGTGGGGGGAGCTGCAGACCCTGGCAACTTGTTGCAATCGAGCGGTTCTGTACGACGATGAATGTGGCCTTTCAGACTTCCGTCACCATACGGCAAGTACACTCTCAAATCCCGGCAGCCTCAGCACCGTTCGCTATGCATTCAATCGCACACCTTGAAAGATGCGTCCCCGTCAGCCCATGCGATTCATTACTGCAGTGCGCCTACCTGTGGCGACAACGCACTGCACAAAGGCACTTTGTACACGAAGCACATTTTTGTCAGAATTATGGGCATTGATCGGTTTACGTCGCACGTGCATCGCCCAATCTTTAATAACAACGTGGTAATTGACATTTCATTCTCTCTTAATAAAACATCTCATCGGTAACAAGAAAACTACTAATATTCGGTCACCATTAACGGCACATTGGATTTGGTGTCGTGTTTCAAACGTTGACAAATGTCACTACGGGTATGTCCACAACGGAGGCACTTTCACTGTACGTTATTGCCTTAAACGATGCTGTACAACTCTAAGAATATCTTGTTAGGTTTCTCATCAGGCTCGGCCCAAATGTGACCCAACTCCATGGTTCCAGCCACCATCACCGCACAACCCCAACCGCCCCCTCTCATCACACTTGCCCCGGGTCTCCCTCTTTCAGCGCAGCTTGCCAAAGCGCTCAAGTGGCTTCAAAAAGCCCAACTCGTCCCATCCAAAAACCTTCCCTGTCGGTGGTGGCGGCTTTTGGCTGGCCATCAAAGACGGTCACAGCATCACGCGCTTTCGGATGCGCTTCTGCGGCCGTCTGGAACGCTCTTCCGTCCGATATTAGGAAGCCACTGAAGCTATGCACTTAAAAAAAATCTCGATTTATAACTAATTCCTTGAACTTATTTTAGTATTTAGTTTGTAGTCCTTCCCCCGCACCTCTGATTAGCACGGTTGGCTACGTGCGGTGCAAACGAAGTTCAACATTCATACGTATAACGGTGATGAGGGCTGATTGCTCACACCACTGCTTTTTCGCCACCATTGCTGACAGAATGAGCTCTATAGAGCCACTCGAGGCTCTCGAGGGCATTCTGGACAACTCTGTGACGCTGCGAATATCAACAATTTACCCCCACCGCTCGCGATCTACCGATCGGCTGACTTTGGTGGCATCTAACGCCATACCCGAGCATATAATTAATGCAAAAGTTGTGAAAATTGAGAGGGGAGTGCGAAGAGGGGAAATCGTTAAAATGGCAGGCCTACGCAGTTGTCAAAGTATTATGCAACACTGGGAGTTGATTGTTGTCATCAACGACGAACGGCAACACCCAAAAGCACTGTGGCTGCTCTTGGTATGCGGTTGCCATCGTAGCCTTTGGCTGACTTGGCTTAACTGGTCACACATTCCCCACACAATGTGCACCCATTCTTTGCAGCACCTTTCAGCGGTCTGCAATAACACTTGTGGCCAAAAAAATATCTTTTAGAGCTGTACATTAACGTGTGGGTGTTAAAATGTCCATTCGTGTTTTTATAGAAGTTATCCCCAGTGTTCCATTGTGATTTATAAATCCTTGCAATAATTACATGCACTTCAATAATTAATGTATAATTCACTTTCAAAGCCTTCATCGGTGACATATTTGACGATTGCGTGAACTTACACTTTCCGAGGCAACATTCATCAGCCTACACAAGTTAATTTAACATAAAAAAACGAATCATTTAAGTCTTCGAATTAGTCACAGCTTGCTTATAATACTGCTCTCTCATAGATGCGACATCTATTCGATTAGTTTCTGAAAAAGCGGAACACACAAACACACTGCACTGGGGATTGTTTTGTATTAGCGTATTATTATCCATAACTTAATACAGCATGAATTTGAGCAAAAGTCTCCTTCGAGAAAACTCGTAAAACAGCTCAGCAGTAATTACTTTCTCAACTCGTCCGAAGTGGATTATATTCAATCGAGCTGTGAGAGCGAGATGAGTTTTGACGCCCTGCTCAGGGACGTCGGGGAGTTTGGACCCTATCAGAAGCGCGTCTTCGTCATGCTCTGCTTGCCCTGCACCGTCTTCTCATTCCAGTACCTCGGCGTACTCTTCCTGGGGCAAGTGCCCCGCCACCGATGCAAGGACCCGCCAGAGACGCGGCAAGCGGTCACCCCCCACTGCGGCGTCAGCCCGGCAGCCGCGCGTGGCAACTGGAGCGAGACGCGCACCGCCGCTGCCCATGGGTTCGGATGGGACCTCCGCTGCAAGCGGCTCAACCTGACATCGTGGGTTGCAATCTTGAATTCCTCCTCTTCCTCTTCGTGCCAGCCGCCCGCGCTGGGGCTCAGAGCTGGGTGGCCACCCAACGCGTCCCTGTCCGACCACCTCGTGCCCTGTGACCTCGGCTGGGAATTTAACCGTGAGGAGGCGGAGTCGACGATCGTCACGGAGGTGAAGTCCACGAAATAGAGCGATTGTAGCTCGCGTGCTTCAATATTAAAACATTGCATTGACGGTTGTTGTAACAAACAAAAACGTATTTATGAATATAGGAAAAATTATATTTCACGGTGAGAATAATCTTTTTCAGTATATGAATATTGGAGCAGTTATATTTTACAGTTAGGATAATATTCTTAAGTATATATCTTGGACGTTGTCCTACCCCGCACCTCAGATTAACACAGTTGGCTACGTACGGTGCGAAAGAAGTTCAACATACATACATGCATATTTTTCTTGTACATGTTTCAATTGATGTATTGCTGTTTGTGTGCTGACGTCTTGTGCTGTGTGTGTGTGCTGACGTCTTGTACTTTGCTTGTGCTGTCTTGCAGTTCGGGCTCGTTTGTGAGAATGCTTGGCTTCTCGATTTCGCCCAGGCCCTTCTAAACCTGGGCTTTTTGCTTGGAGCCATCATCATGGGCTACATCTCTGACAGGTGCCCACGTCACGAACTTCAGTTCACTCTCAGAGATAGTTATAATGACCACATCGCCTCCAATTACCACGGTTGGCTAAGTTCGATGCGAAACATCAGAATCAGAATATGTATTAATACTCAAGGAATCCGATGAGCTATAAAGCACTTTTTCACAAATTTCTAGTAGGGGCGGGTTAGAACGCTACAACAACAAACAGTAAAAAATACGATAGGAGTGCAAAGTTTAGGAAAGGTAAACAAATCACTTAAAATATACAAATAAAACTAATCTATATTTATCATATCAGATAAAGCCCACTGAGGTATTAACTTATTTTTCAGAAGCAACCTGGCCATAAATGATAGCGCAACAAAGTGGCTTATCATGTGGACATTTATGGCAGCAAAATTATCTAAATAATCTCCATGCATGTTTCTAAATGTGGAGGAGAAAACCGGAGGACCCAGAGAAGAAATCCACGCGACCACCTCGAGAGAGACACGCAAACTCCAAATATACAGCAGGCGTCACGGTCGGGATAGAACCCACGACCTCCTGTATATCAGGCAAGGAAGATAACTTCACACCACCGTGGCGCCCCCTTAAATAAACAAAGTATATAAGTAAAAATCGCATAAACAATTCCCAAATTGAGAAAGACAGTAAAACAACAGCAAAAACAGTCCCAGACGAAACCAAGACAACACACACTCAGTCCCTCAATAAAATTGGCCATTTAAACTGAAGATCGATACATTGCTAACAATTACATTTACAGATCACGCTAATGTGGCTGTATCCAGCACTACTCTCTGCTTCAGAATATTTTTTTAAAGAAGATTTATTATTTTAAGGGAAGAAATAAGGTTCTTCCAAAACGTTGGTGCTGCAACGGCAAATGCTTCGTCATCTATTCCAATTCTTGCTCTTGGGATAGTTAAAAGGCAATTAGATGGACGTCTTAGATTTCTTAGATTTGACATTGGGGTTAATGAATTAGCTATGTAAAGCACATATTTGTCAATAAGGATGGTATGAATGAACAGGGCCCAATTTGGATTTCTTCTTGGATCAAGTGATTTGAGATTGGATTTAAGTAGAGGCCACAATGGTGGGTCCTGTATGGTAAAAGCATCATCCAATGCAAATCGAAGAGCAGAATGATGAAGTTGGTTTAGTCTGTTTAGTGATTCATTAGTAGCTGATCTGTAAGCACAGTCGTCAAAGAGTGGAAGAATGGTAGTTTCAAGAATTTGAAGGCGTATTCGAATGGGAAACTATTTTTGTTTCTGTTTAAAAGCCCTATTTCTGATTATATTTTCTTTGAAATGTGATAAATATGGAAGTTGGAATGTAAGTGTTGAATCATTTAGTACACCCAATTATTTTAAGCACCCTGTTTGTTTAATTAAGTTGTTTCTCATATCCGTAATAGGTGAAGAGAATTAAACTGGATCTTTTTTGAAGAAGAACTTCGTTTTTTTATGATTTAGGAGTAATTTTAGTAGTGACAATTGATATTGAATTAAATCGTCATCGTGTTGGAGATTCTGTTTGACTTCGTTTGGAGATGTACCCGATACGAGCATGACATAGTCATCCGCAAGTCCATTACATTTTGAGTGATTTACGTTTAGTCCAAAATTGTTGAAATATAATGAAAACAGAATTGGACCCAGCATACATATGTAATGAGCGACTTCTGACACACGTCTAGTAGAAGGCTTCTTTTTTATTAAGGGCACACGGGGCGATACCCTTCATAACGCGGCTACACCGAGGCTGTCCAAACACGCAGCCCATCTCCGTCCTGCGCTACGCTGGCTGCTCGACGAGCACAGCGGCAACGACGGAGCTGCTCTTGCAGAAGAACAGCCACGTGGTCGAAGAGATGACGACGAGCAGCGACGCAACCAGGACCTGGACCCCACACTAACAGCCCCAAACCTCTGGTTCGGTCCCCCTTACATCTGCCCGGCGTAACCAAGGTCCACCTTTGGCCACACCCCCTTTCCGGAACCTTCGGGTTGGTTCCCGGAGCTTCTCGACTGACTCTGCCCTTGACCTTTATCCCAGATACGCCCCTTCATAATAAGGCATTATGTAATGCAGCTATAACCGTAATTACCCCTACAGTTTGACAGGTGTCATCCTGTCATTACACATACACAAATACATACGTCAAAGGCCAATGGCACAAGATTTGCCATCAGTGTTGGGCAATATGTTTGCCGTTGTGTGTGTGGGGGGGGGGCGGTAGTGTAGCGGTTAGCACGCTGCGCTACAAACCTGGCGACCCTGGTTCGATTCCCACTCACGGCCAACACCAGTGACGATTATCTGAACCGGTTCTGAGCCTCCCCTAGGTCAACTCAGCCTCAAGTGAGTACCTGATGCGGTGTGTTAAAATCGTCACTGGGGAGACATTTAAGGCGGCCGGGCGTGGTATTGGCCACCCACCCTCTTGTGCCGTCCTTTAGAGGTGCTCGCTAACAGCACTTGCCCCAACAGTCTGTTAAGGCTACACGGGGGATCTTTGTGTGCGTCCAAATGACCGCCAGGTTCGGACGTCGCTGGAGCTTCCTGATCTCCATCGTGCTGCAGACCGTGTCCGGGGTGCTGGTGTCCCTCGCGCCCAACTACGCCACGTTCGTCGCCCTGCGTACCCTACAGGGGATATTCAACATGGGCAGCTGGACGACCGGCTTTGTGATTGGTACACTATTGTCTGGACTTTTCCAAAATTGCATCAATTACTCGCAGCAACAACAACAACAAAAGCCATTGTGCAAAGTCGCCTGTTCTTGGCAGACTTGTGCTATGTTTGCCTTGTGCTCCACATGGACAAAGCAATATTTAGACTTGTGAGTGCTGGAATTTAGCCAATTTGAGCGCAGAACCAAACGGAATGTTGTTCCTTTGTGCAATCATTGGTAACCGGACTGACACTATCAACTCACTGTACTTATTGCACGTTGGAATTGGGCAACAGGGCAATTATCAAAGGTAAAATAAGTAAGGATTTTTGATATTCATTGCTTTAAATGAACACTAGCATAAGTACCCGGCGTTGCCCGGGTGAAAAATATATTTCTTAATAACCTTACATATATACACATATGGGCTGCTACCCCTGCCCCCCCCCCCCCCAGCCACGATCTCCTCGGCCGCTGTGCAGTAATATGTACGGCCTATAGTGTGGTGGGGTGTCGAGGCCTAGTACCGTGCAGAGCCTCCGGCCTCGCCTAAATTGCCCACCCAGCTGAGGCTGGGTACGGGTGCCGTTCCCCCCCCCCCCCCCCCGCGCTACAATAATACTGTCTAATCGCTATAATTTTATTATCTACCGACCCTATAATAGTAATTGCACACATTGGGGTGGGGGGGGGGAGTGAAGAGGACGTGAAACTTTGATGAATTTACCTCAGAGTCGCGTGGTGGGTGTCGAGGCCTAGTACCGTGCAGAGCCTCCGGCCTCGCCTAAATTGCCCACCTGGCTGAGGCTGGGTACGGGTGCCGTCCCCCCCCCCCCCCCCCGTGCTACAATAATACTGTCTAATCGCTATAATTTTATAATCTACCGACCCTATAATAGTAATTGCACACATTGTGGTGGGGGGGAGTGAAGAGGACGTGAAACTTTGATGAATTTACCTCAGAGTCGCGTGTTAATGCGTGCGCATATTTTTAACGGGAATTAAAAATGGCGTCCACCCCGCAGCGAATGCGTCGCTACCCGTTGCCAGGGGCAACCGCCGGACCAATCGTGTCTCGCAAATCCCTCACATTTCGTCCAATGAAACTGCGTATGGTCCGGCGACACACAGACAAACAGACACACACACAGACACACACACAGACAGACAGATTTGAGATTTTATATATATAGATTCTTAAGTGCACATACGCTCATTTATCATTAATTAAACTGTTTGGAAGTTCAATTCTGTAAAATAATTTCAAAAGCTGCAATCATTGACAAATGAACAACGCATTTTTCCTGCGAGATACTGTATTCATCAAGTGAAGCTCCACACATATTGTCTTTATATGTTTAGGCCATTTCAGCAGCCTATTTAAATCGGATTTTGTCATTGAAGTGAAATAGATTGTGACCTATCGTGCAAATCAGCCACTTGCGAGGTGGATTCCAACTGGATATAGGCAGTCCTATGTTTACGCTACTACAATTCCCATCGCCAATGAATTTGAGAACGTAATTCGATTAAAAAATGCATCCATTCACTGCAACGCCGTTTTGAATTTTTGAAAAAAACAAACGCCGAGGTGTGGTGACGACCCACAGCGCCCCCTAGCGGACGGTCCGGCATCTGGGTTTACATCTCTGTTTACATCTCTTTGTTTACAAACATCGCAATGTTGGATACCCTAACTCCCATCTCTGTTTACAAACATCGCAATGTTGGGTACCCTAACTCCCATCTCTGTGTTTACAACATCGCAATGTTGGGTACCCTAACTCCCATCTCGAAAAATAAAGCAATCTCCGACGTTCATCTCTGGTGAGGAGTACTCAGTATTTACTTATTTTATAGCGTTAAAACTTGGTATAGTGTAATATATTTCTGGGAATCTTTTGTCAAGGAAAACCATGCAGCCGCTGTGCATCTTAAAAGCAAAACAGTGGCAAAGAATGACGTGCGAAATAGTAAAAAAGAATCCAGTTGGTGTCCCTTGCCGGAGAATATTTGCATAGAACGCTCACCGAGTTTTGCCTCAGAGCAATGGATTGCATGGTATGAAGTAACAACGGGAATTTATCTGCGGTGGCTTCAAATGAAAAATGTCAGCGTCGTTGCGAAAATCTGTGGGCAGAGTCCCTTCCCATGTAGTAGTCTGATCCAGTGGTGGAAGTTCCATGTTCTTCTGCAAAGAATTAGACCGTCTTGTTGCCTTCCCACAAAGAAGGTGCTCCACCAGCGCCCTCTCGTTTAACCGACCTTGGAGAGAGATGATGGGCACAGCTTGCCATGGCCCTAATTTCAACTTATAATCTCACGACTGGGTGCCAGTTACTCTACGAATCCAGCAAATTATGCCGTCGTTCAGTTTTAAATAGTGAGGATTAAATACAAAATGTGACCTGTGTGCACGTACACGGATAAAGGTTAACAGGTAAAACAATAGGTTCATCTAAATAATAGCAGGATTTCAACATTGTCACCAAGTGCATGTCAGCCAACTGGCTTTAAAGAAATATATTGGTGTTTGTAGAGGCAGTCTTCAATAACCTTGGGTGATGCATATTGTCAGATGATGGACTTGCTATGGTTCAGTGATTCATCAACATCGGAACATTAATTCCAAAGTGAATATTCAGATTCTCTCACTGAAATGTAGGGGTTTCTCTCTATGAGTACTTTACGGTCAGCAGGCCTATCTATCAGCTGGCGAAATGTGGCTGATTAAACCTGCTGTAATGAACGTGACTGTGAATGGGTCTATCGAACACATAAGCCACGGGTCGGTAAATGCTGGCTATGCATATTTGTGTCTGCCTTTAACCGCCTTCCCATATTTTTTCTGCGCGCAGTGACCGAGTTTGTGGGCTCCAGCCAGCGCAAAGTGGTGCACATGGTGCTGCAGATGTTCTTCAGCTTCGGAGTCATCATAACGCCTGGCATCGCTTACTACCTACGCACGTGGCGCTACCTGCAACTTGCGTTCACATTACCTAACGCCATCTTCATTACCTACTACTGGTAAGTGAAGGTGCTTCTGATGTGATGAGTGTGTTCAGCGCTCTGCCAAACCACTGTTCGTTGAGGTTCAGCCCCACATCATTCAGGTCATGGTAGTTTATTTGACCATACTTCACCACGCTGGCCAGTGCGGGTTGGTGAAGGTGGGGAGCATATACGTAGGAGCCGTAGTGCTAACCTTTATTATTTTTCTTTAATGGGTGACCACCATTCTGTGTGCAAAGCCCATGAGAGTAAAGCATCTCTTGATACAAGTGAAAAAATCACGAGGTAAGAAGAAACCCATATCGACGAGGACATTTGTACTATGCTTCTTCTTTCTAGCGTTGTTCCCGCTGTGGCGCAGGGTCCGCTTTTCGGCATTGTCTTCTCCATTTGGCTCGGTCCAGGGCATCTTCAGGGGATGCGTTGACCGTCTTTATGTCTTCCTTTATTCGATCCATCCATCGCTTCTTCGGACGTCCGCGTGGACGGCGGCCCTCTGGCTAAATACGCATGGCAGTCTTGGCCACTGATGACTCTTCACTTCGCATCACATGGCCGTACCACTGAAGCCTTGCCTCAAGCATCTTGTCCGCAATGGGGGCCACACCAAGTCGCTTCCGAACGTCTTCGTTCATGACACGATCCCATCGAGTGAGTCCGAGGCTCCATCTGAGCATCCTCATCTCCATGGTGTGGAGAGCTTGTTCGTGTACAGTTGTGGCTGGCCAGCACTCGGATCCATAGAGTGCCACCGGTCGGACGATGGTCTTGTAAATTTTTCCCTTCAGCCTATCCGGCATTTTCCAATCACAGAGGACTCCGGTGACTTGCCTCCACTTCATCCATGCCGCATTGACTCGTGACCTCACATCAGTCGTGATGCTACCATCTGAGCTGATGGTGGAGCCCAGGTACTTAAAGTCCGTCACTTTCTTCAGATCTTCTCCGTCAATGCTGATGGTGCCATCGGTTTGGGGGCCACACTCCATATACTCCGTCTTTTTGATGTTGAACCTCATCCCGTTTTCGTCCAAACGTTCCTTCCACAGGCGCGTTTGTCTTTCCACTTCTCCTCTCTCTTCATCTGAGAGGAGGACGTCATCCGCGTAGAGAATTGACCATGGCAGGGGCGTGTGCAGGTCGGCAGTGATCGTGTCCATGCACAGGATAAACAGGAGTGGTGACAGGGCCGATCCTTGGTGCACTCCAACGCTGATGGGAAATGGCGGTGATATGCCCACTGCACACCTGACTGCACTGGTGACGTTCTTGTATAGGAGTTGCACCCAATGCACGTAGGTTTCAGGGACTCCATGGGATCGAAACGAGTGCCAGATGAGGTCGTGGGGGACCCTGTCAAATGCCTTTTAATTTGTTAAAACAAACATTATTCAACATTTGTACTATGCAATGTTGAATAATGTTTGTTTTAACAAATGTATATATGTAAGGAATGAAGGCTGCCATTACTCTGTGTATACTAATTTATTGTCTTGTTCACGACTGCAGGTTGCTGCCTGAATCTCCGCGCTGGCTGCTCTCGCGGAATCGTAAGAAAGAAGTGGTGGCCGCTTTTGAGAAAATTGCACGAGGCAACAGGCGAGTTCTGTCCAGCTCCTTCCAAAAGGTGCGCCCCACAAATTATTTCCGCCCCCACCCCAACCCCAGCTAAGTAATATTTTCACTGGCTATAATTATCTATCATTCACGTCTGGTGAGGATGGGATTACACCAGGGACGTGCGGTCAGGAGAGGCGGGGGAGCCAGATCCTCAGCTGTCATACTCCAATGAAAATAGCTGTTACGAAAAGTACAAAAAATAAATAATAAAATAAATTTAATATTAAGATTTTTCCACTGATCTGTGTTATAAATATAATTTCTGTACGATTCCAATAATTTTTATAGTCAAAATCGCCAAATTTGCGGAGCTCCGCTGCAAATACAGGAAGAGACGAGAGGTGAGGCAGCGACGAGCTCAGCCTCCCCTCTGATTGCGCAACCCCTCAGTAACTGAGTGCGTGCCTGTTACTATCTCAGTATGTCACCAATGTAATGTTTGTAAACCCCTTAATTTCATGTCCTCGCCTTCCATACTCCAGGTAACCTATTTCACGTATGTGTATAAAGATATTTAGGCTCGCTGGTCTTGTCATGAAACTGCAATGAAAAAGTACCAGGGGAGGCAGTTATCACCACTGCCGCACTGAGGGGGACGTGTCTAACCCCCCTCAGTGAGGACACGCCTCCCTCAGTGAGGCCATGCAACCTCCGTGAGGCCACGCCCCCCTCAGTGTGTGAATCTGGCTCTGACACTAGCCAGTGCTTCCCCAGCCATTGACCTCACCGCACGTCACTGGATTACACTAATATGATAATTGTATCGTGGACATCTAACTTTCGTTTGTTCATTCGTATGTCAATCTGCTTGTCCTGGTGAGGGTCGTGGCAGCAGCATGTTGAGTAGGGCGGTCTATACTCTCGCTCTTCCTGGGGAATTCCCAGGCGTTCCCAGGCCAGCCGAGCGACGTAGTCCCACCAGCGTGTCCTGGGCTGGCCCTGTGGTCTTCGCCCAGGGAGACGTGCCCGGTAGTTTTCAAGGCGGAGTCTATTGGGCGGCATCCTTACCAGGTGCCCGAACTACCTCAACTGGCTCTTCCCGATCCGAAAGAGCAGCGGCTCTACTCTGAGGCTCTCCCAGATTATTGAGCTTCTCATCCGATCATGGAGAGTGAGCTTGGCAACCCTACAGAGAATCCTCATTTCAGCCCCTTGTACTCGTGATCTCATCCTTACGGTCATTACCCAAAGCTCATGACCATAGGTGAGGGTGGGAATGTAGATCAATCTGTAAACCAAGAGCTTTGTTCAAAATCGTTACTACTACGGAACGGTACAGTGCCCGCAACATTGTGGACGCCGCACCGATCCGCAAGATGATCTCCCGCTCCCACTTGCCATCACTCATGAAAGAGACCCTGAGGTACTTAAATTCCTCCACTAAGGGCAGCTGTTCCCCCCTCACCTGGAGAGAACAATCATATTCCACACCGCCCGCCCCCTACATCTCTTTTCTCTGGTTCCTCCCCCCTCTTACCTTATATAATCGCTTGTCACAAACAGCTCTCTTTGCCTACTACAGTAATTTTTTGTTTTTTACTGTGGTTGTCGCACCTGATGACGGAAGCTTGTGTTGCTTCCGAAACGTCGTGATTTAATTTGATTATTTCTATTATTATTTTTTCACCTACGTGACTTTACCGAAAGAACCAAAGAGTATGGATCCTTGCAGTCACGAAACCTTCAAATCTAGAATGTCCAGAACATACGGCCTTAGGTCCGATGATACAGCCCAAGGTGCTCTGGTACAAAGTACACTTACGAGTATCCCTGTGTTCGAACATGGTGTTTGTCATTGATATTCATTGACTAGTGCAGAATTCCAAAAACATCTCTCCATTCGGATTCAGATCAGGGGGGCCATTCCTCCCAATCATGCCTCTCCAGCTATCTCAATCATTTCCCACGTGAGCATTGAAGTCGCCCAGTAAGACTATAGAGTTGGTAGGCCGCAATCTGTCGAGCACTGCACCCACAGTCTCCAAGAAGGTCGAATACTCTGAACTGCATAAGCACAGACAATAGTCAGAGTTTTCTTTTCTGAGACCCGAAGTCTCGTTGAGGCGACCCTCTCATTCACTGGGACAAACTCCAACTGAACAGCACCCAGCCAGGGGCTTGTGAGCTGCTGCTCCCCGGGTCTGCCTGAGCTGCTACTCACTGGGACTGCTACTCACTGGACCTGCTACTCACTGGGCCTGCTTAAGCTGCTGCTCCTTGGGTCTGCCTGAGCTACTGATCCCTGGTTTGCTCAGAAATGCTCCTCATCAGCAAGGAGCCGAAGCTTCTGTAGGAAGCTCTTGACCGTCTTGACCAGCTCCTTGAGGTTTTTACCCTTCACCTGCTTGATCAGGTTATTGCCCTGTTCGCTAATATGTTCATTGAGAAAAAAAAGAGTGAAGTGTTAGGTCACATCCACGCTAGCGTAGAAGCCGTACATGTGCGACGAGTGTTTGGCAAGACATTTTCTCGCGTTCGGCCTACCTGTACGTTTTTCACTTGTGTGTTTAACTGTTGTGTACCTTTGTTATTTTAAAGATGGAAGTTCTGCTGTGTATCCGACTGCTGTCCCTCCCGGCCATATCTAGTGCCACACTCAACTCTACCACCGGCAACCCTCGTTATTTGTCGTCCGTACTTGATGCTCCATTTACCACAACACATCCTAGTGAAACAGCTTATAGCCACTTCTACACTCCATCATTGTATCCTTTTAAACCTATCTCTGTCCCATTACTTCACCAGCACTCCTTCCTAACTTTATTCTGCTCTTAGAAATGTCGCCATCTGTGAGCTCAGCTATTCGTCTAAGGTTCGCCACTCTTCATCCTTTCACACAAAATACCTGTGCAAACTATTAAATCTATTTTTCTTATTTATGGGAGGTATTGAGCTTCACCCTGGCCCAAATGTAAAGAACTCATATAATTATATAGATTTTTCTGGCAGAAAAGGTGTTGATGTTCTACATATCAACATCAGAGGGCTTGTGATTAAATTAAGTCAACTAAAACTAAAAGTAGGAAATCTGGACCCGGACATTTTCTGCCTTACAAAAACATTTCTCACTCCGGCCGTCAATGACTTGCAGATTACGATTGACAACTACAGCTTTTTTCGGCTTGACCTAGGGTCTAAAGGAGGTGGAATTGCCATATATGTGCGTAGTACTAGTGCATGTTCACCAGCTCATTCCTTGTTAACAGATATTGGTAATGTGCTGCTATAGACCACGTAGTGGTAAGGATGTTGAAGCTGGGACTGCAATGAGGGAACCTGTTAGGGGCCTCCCTAAAGGTGAAATAATTGTAATGGGTGGCCACAAATTTTGCAGATGAATTACACCTGTTTCAATTAATAAACGTCCCCACAAGACCCAACCTAAAAACATCTGGGACAGTCATCTCTGCTTGACGTCCTGTTGACTAATGCCCCTCATAATTTCCCACTTACTGGTGTTCTGGGTAATAACCTTAGTGATCACTCCTTCATATTTGGGGAGAGATCATCAGCCAGACCCAAAGCCCCCCCTAAATTGGTTGATAAGCACTCCATGAGGTACTTCAGCATACAGGCATTTACTAATGATGTGCTTCACTCGGATATTGACAAAGTCTGCAATATCCCCAACCTGACTACGACTTGGGAGACCTTCAGGTACACGTTTCTCCAAATTCTTAACAAACATGCTACGTTGGTTAGATTTAAAATTAAAGGCAACCGCCAACCATGGTTTTATCCTTTGATTACTAATCTCATGAAAACTAGGAACAAGACTTGGGCATGTGCTCAGAAAAGTAATTTGGTCAATGACTGGCTAGAATACGGGATTTTAAGGAATAGATGCGTCAAACAAATACGGCATGCAAAAATGCTTATGTTTCCTCCACTCTCCTGGAATCACATGGCAACGCCAGGATCTTCTGGAAAACAGTCAAATGTATCGAAAAGGCATCTAACACAGATAATCTGCCTGTTGTGCTTAACCCAAATGGGGACTATTTTTCAGAGCACCAAAAAATAGTCGATGACAATTTTAACCTTACATTTTCTGAAGCTGGTGACATTTTTGATAATGTATTGGGAGTCACCCCTGCTCATACAATTTCCTCCACCCCTGTCCAAACATTAAACGAATTTAGTTTCCAGCCTATCCACGAAAGTAATGTTCTGAAACGACTGTCCTACCTCAAAGGGTCCTCCTCTACCGGAGTGGATAGTATTCCCGTCGTTGCTCTGCTAACTGTTGGTCAGCTAATATACAAACCTATAGCCCATATTTTCAACCTGTCCATCAAAGAAGCATCAGTACTTCTATAATAGAAACATCCCTATGTTCGTCCATTTCACAAAGATGATCCAAATAACGACCGACCTAACTCAATTTTGTCCCCGTTGATGAAAAATTTTGAAAAATTATTGAACTACCAAATTAGCAGTTTCCTGTCCGACAACAATCTCTTACATCGAAACTAATCTGGGTTCCGAAAAAAATACAGCAACACATCTGCTGCAGTAGACTCTCTAAATCACATTTACAGTAGCCTTGATAATTGCAGTACTGCGCCAGTCGTTTTCTTGACTTGTCCAAAGCCTTTAATAAAGTCGACCACAACACCCTCCATTTCTCCAAACACACATTGGAATGGTTAAAAAATTACCTCTCTTCTCACACCCAAACTGTATTCATAGATGGTTGGAGGTCAAACAGTGTTAAGATAACAAAAGAGATTCCACAGGGTTCCATCCTCGGCCCTCTCTTGTTCTCTCTTTATGTCAATGACTTGAGCACTGACCTGGATCATTCCAGGGTAAATCTTTTTGCAGATGACACGATACTGATTACTGCTGGCCACTCTCCGCATGACGTGATTGCTAAGCTCCAGGGTGATTTCAACAAACTACAACATCAGCTAGTTGCTCTTAAACTTGTCCTGAAATACCTCCAAAACCAAGATGCTATGCTTCTCACCAGGACTAAAGCAGGAAGTTATTTTCCCCCAATTACATTCCTTAAATAATTATAATAGAGCAAGTCAAGAGCTATAAGTATATTGAGGTCATCTTTGATCAAAACTGAATTTTCAAGATCACATTTATTATATTGGTAAGAAGACAAAATTAATAATTTGTTTTCTGTATCGACAAGCACTGCTTCCCCCCTGTGTTCCGTTTGGAATTGATAAAAGCTACCATACTGCCTCTACTTGATTACTGTGACATCGTATATAAATCAGCCCCCAGTACTATACTGAAGAAACTTGACTCAATGTATCACTCGGCCTTAAGATTTGCATTGAACTGCCCATATAGGACCCACCACTGTGATCTCTACATTGGGTCAAACTTAACATCTCTTAATGATCGACACCTTGTGCATCAGATCTTATTTATTCACGATGTACTTACAAAAAAAAATCAGCAGACTACCTGCTGGATCTCCTCACTGTTTCGAAGAACAAATGTGACCTAAGGTCTTCGCTCATTTACCAGATTCACATTCCTTATTGCCGTACAAATACTGGAGGAAGAGCCTTTGCTACTGATGCCCCCAGGGTCAGGAATGCTATCGCCAATAAACTGCAACTTGGATCACTACCTATGAGATCTTCACTCAAAACTGCTCTAGAGGAGTTGTACACCCCTAGCTGCCACTGCTATTCAGAGTGGCCTGAAATCAAATGCATCGTTCCGGATGACCGCTGCAAAGTATGATCTTGAGTTTTGATTATAGTGTGCTGGTCTTTAAAGGTGCATTGAACATTTTTGAAACTCCTACTGATACTCCTGCTGTTATGGAGTGACTCATGCTGCCAGCTATGGCTGCAAAGTTTGGTCATACATGTTATGTATATCGTTTACTGTTATATTTGAGTCACAGTTCCTATGATCACTATTATATTGCTTTGAAAGCTTTATTTTGGTGATTTCGAAAACGCTTGATTTAGCCATGTTTGTTTGTTGAAGTACAGAGTTAGCCTGATAACTTTAATCTAAATTGTATTATGGTTGTTATTGTTTGACTTGCATCCCACTGGGATTTTTTCACATAGCGTTGAAATATGGTGTTTTTTCTGGAAGATTTTGCTGTTTTTTCCTGGATTTTTCTGTTGCGTGTAGTCACTTTAAGATGTTCTTTGTTCGTGCTTTTGTTTGTTGCGGTTGCACCCGAGTCAAGAGCCGCATGGCTCACAGAGCTATACCTAATCAATGAAACTGAAAAATGAAAACTGAGTATCCCCACACCCGCCCGGGACCTCTCACCAGGGGTTACTCTGGAATAGGAGACCACCTCCGATCGAGAAGTTTGGTTCCAGTGCCAATGCTGTGTGTGGAGGTGAGACCGACTGACTATATCTAGTCGGTACCTTTCCAGCTCCTCTACCAGCTCTGGCTCCTTTCCCCCCAGTGACGTGACATTCCATGTCCCAATAGCTCGTGTCCATCGCCAAGGTCCAGTCCGTCTGAGACCATCCCTCTCCCTGCCATACTGGCATCGCACCCGCCCCTCACCCTTCGTCCTGCGGATGGTGGGCTCACAGGATGGTGCCACATATACATTTCGGGCTGGGCCTGACCGGGTTACGAAGGACACCCAACCACCTGACACCTGCCGGAGAACACCACCCCCAGGCCTGGATCCAGGGGAGTGTCCCGGTGTACCTTGTCTAAGCGAGGTTCTTTGATCTTTGTATTTTTTGTACCATTCATGAGGGGCTTTTTTGAACCGTTATTTGTCTGGAACCTCCCCCCAGACCTGTTCGCCAAGGGAGATCCTACCAGGCGTATAAGACTCCAGGCGACATAGCTCTGAAGGTCATTGGAACACACAAACCCCACCACCATGATAAGGTTACGATCCTTAGGTGGGGCGTACACCTACCTGTGTTAAGATTATCAATACAATCTCTAATGTATGGGATTAATATGGTGATTGTACTCTGCATCCCTCTATCTGTTTTAGGGTTTTCAGGCGATAACAGCAGCTGACATGAAGTCCCCCAGCCCATCTCTTATGGACCTGCTGAGGTCCCCAAAGATTCGCAAGTACACCCTGGTGCTCATGTTCTACTGGTGGGTGACGTGCAACATATCAACACATCAATGTGCACTACATCAGTAGTACGTTAATACAAACATCGTCTCTCTTTACAATCTCGTATAACCTTGCCCAATTCAAGAAATATGTTGTTATCAACTTTGATAGTCCTGTTTGTTGCTGGCTGTTTAACGTGTTGAGCTTTTGGGCCTGTGTTTAGTAAGTGTATATAAAAAAAACACATTATGGCTTGCACAAGTGCACGCATTGTTTTTCTTCGTGGGACTGAAAAGATCTGGTCCAAGTTTCCAATATTTACACAATGTGCATTGCCAGAATAGGAAAAAGACAGCTATCTTCTCATAATGTCTTCTCAGCTGTGCTTAGTTTCAGCTGGAACTGTCTAGGGCTAAGCTCTAAGGGCTTGGGAGTTGGGGGGGAGGGGGGCGCGTAGAAATATACCATGAGAAATGAAGCTCTGATCTAAATGTGGAGTTAACATGTGATGGTCATGTGTAAGAGTAGTCCCAGTGATGTAGCTTGCTCAGTGTGCAGGCGGCACAGCTGCATAAAAGCCCACAGGCTGGCCGGGCTCATGCGCAGGAGTTTGTGAGTTCGATCCCAACCCTGAGGATGCGTCTATATTTAGAGTTTGCGTGTTCTCCCCCTGTGGGTGCATATATTTTATTTCCGGGTCCTCCGGTTTTGCCCACCATATTGAGAAACATGCGTTTCATGTATTTGGCTGCCATACATTTCCACATGATAAGCCATTTTGTTGAGCTATAATTTGTGGCCAGGCCACTTATGAATAAGAGCTATATAGCTAAGTGGGCCTTAGCTGGTAAAATAAAATAGTTTTATGTATGTGTGTTGAACTTGTTTCGCATCATACATAAGCCAACCGTGTTAATCAGAGGCAACGTCATAATAACTATCTCTGCATGTTCTGCCTCGTGGTCATGCGGATTTTAACTCCGGGTCCTCCGGTTTTTCCCTCCACATTTAGAAGCAAGCGTTTAGATTATTAGTCTGCCACTACAAATTCATATATATTATAATACAGTATAAGTCACTTTGATGAGCTATCACGTGTGGCCAGATCGCCTCTGAAAAAGAGCTAATAGTAATTTGGGCTTTACCTGGTAAAATAGAATAGTTTAAATAGTTTACATATGAAGAAGGGGGAAATTGGACTGGCTAGGCCCCCCCTCCACCTTTTCGTTCCTTCCACCGGGTTCCATGCCAACCGCGATTACATTTGCTGTATATGTACGCCACTGAGCAGTGCAATCGCTTGTGCGTGTTGCTTGCAGGTTCGTGGTAGCCGTGGTGTACCAGGGGCTGGCGCTGAGCACGGGGAACCTGGGAGGTAACCTGTACGTGGCGTTTCTGCTGGGTGGCGTGGCTGAGATCCCCGGAGCCCTGTTGGCGATTGCCCTCGTGGACCGCATCGGACGGCTGCCCCTCATGTCCGTGGGGCCCGTCCTCTCGGGCCTCTTCTGCCTCGCGTCCACTCTGGTGCCCGTCGGTATGCAGCTCCAGTCGATGAATATTGAACTAGATTTACAAATATATATTCACTAAAACTAAACTATTTTTATTTGACCAGGTAAGGCCCACTTGAGCTATCTAACTCTTTTTCCGAAGTGACCTGGCCACAAGTGATAGCTCAACAACGGGGCTTATTATGTGGAAACGTATAGCAGCCAACTACTCTAAACGCGTGATGTTGATTATAAAAATGTGGACAGAAACACCGTAGGACCCGGAGAAAAATCCACGTGACTACGGGGAGAACATGCAAAATCCAAATATAAAGCAGGCGTCAGGGTCGGGTTCGAGCCGACGACATCCTGTATACCAGGCGAAGCAGTTAACATATCGTCACTGATTCCTGAGCACAAGCCCGCAATACCAAGAGGACAGCAACAAACAGCACTTTTGAAGGTGTAACAGATAGGAGTTAATAGATTCCGTCAATTAAGCAAGGTGATGAGAACTTGAGGGAAAAGAGGCGAGGACAAAATTCCAAAGTTGAGCAGTGCGGGGAAAGAAGCAGCGAGGGAAGTGTCGTGACCTGGGAAGTGTCGTGACTTGTGGCGTGGTGGTTGAACACAGCGAGAGATGGGACGACACAGTCAGTCTGGGAAACCGGGTGGAGGAGTACATGAGTGAAAGTTCATGGTAACAGTCACCATGGTAGTAGCAATAGAAGAATGTCTTACATTGCGTTCTATCAAGTATAATGAGATATGACCTGGCTGCTGCACCCCTGCTATGGACACCGGCTCCAACTGTTGTCCAAATCCATACCAAAGCCAAATCTGTGCTTTTTTCGTCCTGCAGTAATAATCGTGGTGTCCAGCAGGGAGAGTGGTTGGGTTTTGCTGTAAATTAAGATTTTTTAAATTTTACCAGCTAAGGCCCACTGAGCTATTTAGTTATTTTTCAGAAGCATCCTGGCTATCACAAATGATAGCTCAACGAAGTGGCTTACCATGTGGAGATTTATAGCAGCCAAATACTATAAACGCATGTTTCGAAATGTAGAGAGAAAACCCGGACGATCAGATTAAAATCCACGTGATCGCAGGCAGAACATGCAAACTCCAAATATACAGGGTAGCGATCGAATGCACGACCACCCGTATACGAGGCAAGGGAATTAACATCACTCTACCGTGTGATTGATAACAACCACACAATAACTCCTTATTTACATGAGACAATGATCCCCCGTATAGCACTTAACAGACTATTGGGGCAAGTACTGTTAGTGAGCACCTATGAAGGCCAGAAAGTGGGTGGCCGGCACCACGCTAGCCCGCCTTTGTCTCCCTCGTGCCAATGTTTACACATCGCACCAGGTATTCATTTGAGTCCGAGACGATTTAGGAGAAGCATAGAACATGTTAAGGTATTGGCCATGAGTGGGAATCAAACTCGGGTTACCGGGTTCATAGTGCAGTGCGCTAACCATTATACTCCCCACACTGGCACACACTCACTCACGATTTTAGAGATGGAGTGGCTGTATGTGGCACTGGTCATGCTGGCCCGCCTCTGCATGACGATGGCCTACCAGATGGTGTGTCTGCTCAGCAACGAGCTGTACCCCACGTTCCTCAGGTGAGCGGACGTTTGTGTGGGAGAACACGGTGATCAAGGGGATGATAGCGAGCTGGTGGTTGGTGGAGCGCATTACGCAGGCAGAATAAAAAAAACATCGAGGTTGAAAACTCATTTATTTAGAACTGCTTTTTGTGTTTAGTTTGTTGTCCTTCCCCCACACCTCTGTTTCACGCGGTTGGTTACATACGGTGTAAAAGAAGCTAAATATACATGCATGCATGCCCGACCAAAATAATAGGGGAAATTAGCGAAGAAAAAAAGCCCACTACATTTTTATCTCAAAGCCTCTACATGGCTCCCACCAATATCAATAATACGTGTATTCAATATTTAAATAGAGTTTGAGGTCATTTGATTTGTTCCATGGATGATCCCATTTAGCCAGTTGCCTGGCTATTTTATAAGGGAGATTTATGGTGCGCGAGCATCGCAAAAAAAACAAATACACAAATATTAGTATTGCAGAGAACAAGTACAAGGATGTACAAGGTCACTACTCTTTGGTTCATTCGGTAAAGTCACATAGAAAATAATAATAATAGAATACGACGTTTCGGTTGCAACACAAGCAACCATCATCAAGTAAGAATGAATGATAAAACACAGACACGGGAACAGCATAGGCAGACAAACATGCAGAGAGAGACACACACAAAGACACACCGAGCGAAACACACACCAAGACAAACAGAAGGATAACGACTCTTTGCCAAAGCCTTAAATAGAGAGAGGGGGGAGGGGCCGGGGCAGAGAGAGGACTGGGGAGGCAGGACCAGCTGACGCACGAGGGGACAAGGAGGGAGCAGTGTGGAATTCCGGACCACAGTGGCCGGAGGAGAGACAATGGTTTATAGCAAGACAATCGAAAGTTTGAGAAAGCAAATTTAGTCAAATAAAGAAGTGTAATGCAATGCAACACAGAGGGTCGGTTAACACACAGTTAACGGATAGCCTGGTTGATTTATGTTCTCCAAAATAATGCTAAATTAGAAGTCACGTGTGAGTTGTGAGGAAACCCTCCCCGTCGAGGTGGTTCAAACTAGATTCGAAGCAATCACCAAAGCTTCAAATCTAGTTTTGTTTGTCTTGGTGTGTGTCTCGCTCGGTGTGTCTTTGTGTGTGTCTCTCTCTGCATGTTTGTTTGCCTATGCTGTTCCCGTGTCTGTGTTTTATCATTCATTCTTACCTGATGATGGTTGCTTGTGTAGTAGAGTTAACTACTCGATGTTCACAAACTGGGAGAGCAAATCGTTAACAAGGTTTTCCCGCTCAAACTAACGGTCAGGGTCAGGGTCTCACAAGCTATGAGAGCTGACCGTAAACAAGGTTTTCCCTCGCGACCAAACGGTCAGGGTCAGATAGGGTGAATTGGGATCCAAAAGCAGATTGGGAACGACCAATCACAGGGTTCCACAAGGTGGCCGGGGATTGGACAACCCGGCCACGAACAAGTATAAAGCCAGAGCGCTCAGAGCTCTGAGGGGGTTCGACTACACGAAGACCCAAGACGGCGGAAGAAGCCTAGGACCCTGGACCAAGCCCTCCAGCCCTTATAAGGGCTAGGGTTCAGTGTAACCAGTGGTCGGGGAGACATCCCCTAGGTCCAGTCAGAGGACATTGAAAGAGCGGGATATTAAGTAGCCTGTAGGGTGCGGAGGCTTGTACGTTCTGAGTGTAACGGGTGAGGGGACCGTATACTCCTCAGTGCATAGGGACTGTGTTCATAAGACGAATAAAAGTGTGTGCTACAAAAGACGTTGAAGAGTCCGTCCGTACAACACTACACTTGTGTTGCAATCGAAATGTCGTATCCTATTATTATTATTTTATTTTCTACGTGACTTTACCGAAAGAACCAAAGAGTAATTCCTGCAGTCATGAAAGCTTCGAATTTATGTACATATTCCTGAAGGAATATTGTAAAAATAGTGCAACTCTTTGGTCTCCTCTGTAAGATACAGCGCCATCGCTTTCACAATATCCGATCACCCATTGAGAAGATGGTAGTAAGGTGGCTCGATTAGAAAGTAGTGGGGCATCGATAACCCAGTAGTGGCGCATTCACCACTTGTGGCAGAGGTTCACGGTTCGAATACAGCGCCCGCCCTGGTTAATAATGCGATTGTGTGTATTACCGTGGACGTTGAAGATCCTGTGACGTCAATTCACCAGAGCAGGGCATTCATCGAGTTCCAGCGGCATGGTCCAAAATTCCCAAATTAAAAAAAATTCCTTCAAATGACTTAATTGGGAATCTAACACAGCAACAATAATCGCTGTCTACTGCGAAATCTTGGCAGGACCCTCATGATTAAGAGTCATGGGGCTTAGTGAGGCTTTCCTGGGTAAACAAGTGAAATAATTTTCGATTTAAAGCTTTCGTGACTGCAGGGATTCATCTTCTTGGTTCTTTCGGTAAAGTCACGTAGAAGGGAAATAATAAAATAATAAAAATAAAACATAGTAAAATAATTCTCACGACGTTTCGGCCACAATGCAAGCAGCCGTCCTCAGGTGAAGACCAGGTCTGTCTACGCTGTCTCCCCGACAGACCTTTATTATTTTATTATTTCCCTTCTACGTGACTTTACTGAAAGAACCAAGAAGAAGTGAAATAATAATGATTTTAATAAATGCATTATCCTGTGTCACCATAGCAAACCGATCAGTAGATTTTACAAGACAAACTCATAAAATAAGCCATTCATATTTGTCACATCAGAAGATGTTTTATTTCTTTTGGTTTGGTGTTTTTTTTTTATATGCTCACATTGAAGGGGCCATCTTTCATGGACCATGTACGATGAGTACGATCAGACTAATTGTGAACTCGCCAGAAAATGTTGTTTCTCCGCTGTTTTGTGCAGGAATTTTGCCGTGTCTATATGCTCATCACTGTCTGGCATTGGTGGGATAGCTGCGCCGTTTCTCCTCTACCGACTGTACAACATCTGGAAGCATCTTCCACTCATTATATTTGGTATGAATTGTACACACACAGACACATTGGTGCACTTGCACACATATACACGCAAATGTCTTGCTAGAGCCAAAAATCCATTACATTTGCAAATTGTGGACAACACAAACAGATATGAAAGTCTGTTATCTATTCTTTATGCAAAAGAGGAGCTATGTGGCACGCACCTATAATCCCTTCATTATTATGGATAATGGATCATGAATAACATGAGTTCCACTTCGTCAGAGAAATCGACGGTGGTTGTCCTATGAGCAGATTCGTTCCTGTCATTGGAATGAGGAATTCCCACCACTGGCTCAGGGTTGTAAACAGGAGATAATTGTCAATGCATCGATGCAAATTTGAGCAATACATCACTTTGACCTTTGACTTTGAATAGCAGGAGATAACTGACTATAAACTCTGCTTCTCTGTGATGTTGCGTATCCATGAATTGGCTCTATCCACTTCATCACAGATAACGGGAATTCCGCTCGTTTTTTTTCATATCATCATCTAGTGATACACAGGGCAGCTACACAGGATTGTGACAAACTAGAGTAGGCTGCATGCGTGTCAAACATAGATGCATCTTAACACGTAGTAGGTTTTCACGACTAATATTATCCATAATCGAGGTTTTTGTTGGGTTAGATTGCGTATATATATATAAATGTGTCATTAAACCCGCCACCACCCGACACAGCCAATTAGTAAGGTTTGTCACGTAATCAAAAGATGCCAGTTAGTTACTCGTTCAGCACACCGGTGTTTCGCTGGTAATTACAACCAGCCTCATTAGGTAACAGTTAGAATACTGGTGAAACGTTGTACTCGAATTGTAAATGTTGTGGGTCTACTCTGCAACATACCGATATATTATTTGGGTCTTTCGGTAACATAGATAGGTTCAAAGAAAATAATAAAAAACTGAGACGTTTCGATCACAACACAAGCGACCGTCATCAGGAAAAGGGAGGTTAGCTTCTAAAGACAACTGCTTATAAAGGTTTGAAATGGGCGTAGCCCAAATGTCAACAGCCAATGTTAATGTAAGTGGTGGGCAGTGACTGTGGCGGTGGTGGGTTTTCTACCAATCAAAGGGCTGCCAGGCAAAAATTTGCATGTTAATGTAAGATCACCGAGCATCCTCCACGGCGAATGTGCCAAGGTGGCTATGTCAGTGTGAGAGATGAGCATGTTACTGTAAAGAGATTAGCATGTTTACGTGAGAGATTAGCATGTTAATGGGAGATCGTGAAGCAGCAACCTCGAGGATGGCATGCGAGGTAGCTGTGTTAGTGAGAAATTTAATCTGTTAATGTAAAAAATCAGAGAGCCAAAAATAACAACTAACATTGGAAGGTGGTAGAATGGGAACATCACAGCCAGTTATGACTTAAACTGGTTAATAACGTCCTTCTAATGATTGCTCAGTTTCTACCCATCTTCTCAGTTGAAATTGTGTTTGTGTCTATTTATCTGGATGGCTTCATGAACGAATCTTTGTTGATAGCCAGTGGGTTTGCAAAGTACCTTCGTCTTAGAGAAATCAATTTCGTGTGAGCCCACTGCATTAAAACAATGATCAGCCACGGCCGAGGTATTGGTCCTACCGTGTTTCAGATCTGCCTTATGTTCACGAACACGGTCTGAGACATGTCGCTTAGTTTCCCCAATGTAACATACCGATATGTGGAACTAGTAACTAATCGGCATCTTTTGTTTATGTGACAACCCTTACTAACTGGCTGTGTCGGGTGGTGGCGGGTTTAATGACACATTTTTTACGCGATCTAACCCCAAAAAAACATTATGAAGGTGAATCTGTGCAGGCAGCACTTTGGTAGCTTGGCCCCAGCAACCCGTGATGCAGTGGCACAAGAAACGTGCGACCACTGTGAAGGCTGTGGTGGCAGGGAGAGGCCATCTATCAAGTGCCCGTAGGACGTCCCCCATTACGCGCTGGGAAGCAATCTTCTGTCAGGGGTTACCTTGCCCTTAGCCCTCCTCTAACCAAAGGCCGAGCCCCAAGGCAGGGTGCGGGAGCTGTTATCGCTGAGCATGGGAGCCATTGATAAGGTACGGCCAGCCGGGTCAGCTGGATCAACGGCTAGGGCAGTGGAGGGCACTACTTCTCGCTTGAAGAGGGGCACCACGATGGCGAGATGTTAACGACCTTGCCTGGTATACAGGTAGTCGTGGGTTCGATCCCGACCCTGATGCCTGCTGTATATTTGGAGTTTGCGTATTGTCCCCATGGTCGCGTGGATTTTTCTCTGGGGCCTCTAGTTTTTCCCTCCATATTTATAAACATGGGTTTCGAGTATTTGTCTGCTATAAATGTCCACATGATAAGCCACTTCGTTGAGCTATCATTTGTGGCCAGGTTGTTTTCTCAAACTTCCAATTTCCCTCCCCCTGCCGCTCTCTAAAATTTTACAAGGTTTGTCAAACTTCCAATTTCTCTCCCCCTGCCACTCTCATTGAAATGCTAATTTCTCTGCCCCCCCCCCCTCTCTCTATATATAATGCCTCGTCACAGAGGCGTTGTTTCTCTGTGTGTGTCTCTGTGTGTGTGTGTGTCTCTCTATGTGTCTCTCCCCCATGTGTGTGTCTCCCTCTCTCTGTGTCTCTCTGTGTGTTTGTCTCTCTCTCTGTGTGTCTCTTTCTGTGTATGTGTTTCTCTCCGTGTCTGTGTTTGTCTCTCTATGGAAATGTCTCTCTCTCCGAGCTTGCATTCATTCACACCTGATGACCGTTGCTTGTGTTGCAATCGAAACGTCGTATTCTGTTATTCATTTTATTTTATTTCTACGTGACTTTACCGACATAACCAAAAAGTAATCACGATCCTTCTAAAGTCCAGTAAATGGCATATACTGTAACAGTGTCCAGCATGCTGCCAACTTGTAATTGCAAATGCCCTTTAAGCGTGCACACACGCCTGTGTGTTTACAGGGATTCTAGCGATTGCTGAAGGATTTTTAATTCTGCTTCTGCCAGAAACAAAAGGCCTGCCTTTGCCTGAAACCATTCAAGATGCGGAGAACATCGGAAAGTACGTATCTAGAGCGTGTTTTTTGGTTAACATTTTAAACGTTATTTCATATTGCAGAACATCTTAGTACTTTGATGTCAACAGTTGTATGCAAGTATTTATTTAAAATCGCTGTAATGCCAACGCGTTATGGAAGTGTAGATGGTGCTTTAAAAAATGAAGTGCATATATTACAAATCTATTCTTTAAAAAAATGTGGTATGCTACAAATGTATTTGTCGATATGCAAACAATTGATATGTCAAGTATATAAGACCACAAAATGTGCAAAATGTCATCACGGAAAGTGAAAAAATCAACCTTCTCGCCAACCTGCCTTCAATGTCAATATTTTTTCTCCGCGGCGATTGTGTTTGTATGATGTACAGGATTCAAAAGGCAAAGCTGGCAAGCAGGTCGAACCCGCACAGAGACGCGATATATTCACTTGGGAAGGCAGCGAGCAACAACATGGAACTCGAGTGTATATAAGCGTCGGGTGAAAGGACCCTGTGCGAAACACGCGAAGATGAATGTTATCATTAGTTTACACTGATTTGTATTTTTGTGATTATTTGAATCATTTCTGTTCCCAGTAGTTGAAGTTAATGCATAAACTGTGAAAATCAAATGCTGAACTGATAACTTTGTATTAATTCGGTTACTCTGGTGTAACAGTCAACATAGAGAGTTACTTACACATTGATATCATGTAAATGAGATTAATATACGGTGTGAAGTATACACGGGAGTTTGAATGAATCTTTAACCCCTCCATCTATGTTATATGTGTGGGAGGCGGGAATAAAAAAACCCATTGCGTCATCTGCAGGTGGTTGGTCTAAGCGGCCCTTGTCTGGTGTGAGCTCACAACTGAGTTGTGCATTGCACTGCAAGTCCCCTGAGCGTATTACAGCAGGGTGGTGGCACGTGGTTGCCACCTCCAAGGTACAACAAAAACTGAGATATATCACGGAAAGAAGAATACAACCACAATACCGAAATATGTGAGAAATACGGTGAAATTCATTGACTTGATTGGTGTATTGACACAAAAAAAAGATTATGGGAAAACTCAGACAGGGTGGGTCATTTTAAGTGGCACCGTGAATAATGATAAAATAACCAAAGGCTGTTGAAACTTTAGTAGTTCTATATAATTCACAAACACGGGGAAGGATTTGCCTCTACTCGTGCCACACTGAGAGTCTGTGCTTGGTTTGGGGTAGGAGGACAAGTCTCTCGTGCCATGGCCTCGAGGTGTTTCACTCTCGCCCCACCATTTCTGCCGAGGCGGTGACATTACCGACCCAGTAGAGACATCATATGATCATCAGCCGTGAACAATCAACTCATTGATGAAGGCGTCCTCAAGTAATCGCCATCACTCACGGTTCTGCGAAGTGGATCCTCATCATGATGTGTACTGAGCGTGGCGACTCAGGGCCCCAAGTGTGTGATGCCGCCGCCACGAAGCCGTTCAGCAGGCGCCCCATCCCCGACCTCGCCACCACCAAGCAATGGAGCCAACCCCTTGTCCCCCTCACCTCACCTCACATGAACACACCCGCACGCATCCCCCCCCCCCCCCCCCCCCCCCATAGAGCTCCGAGGGGAGGTCACCTGGCCGACCGGTTTTTATCCGAGAAACCCTTATCGGGATTAACTCTCACGGTTTCCGGCGATCAGGGAATTGGATGACCTCCCCCGTGCTACGTTGCGCCGCGGCGCTGCGATCAGCCTTAATATGGTGTGGTCGCGGCGTGGGGCATTCGGCCACCGCGGTTGAGGCGCATTTCCCCCCACACACGCCAGTATCGACGGGGCAGGCAGAGGGAATAAGCATTGTGATGGAGGAGCATCATTAGAAAACACGCAGCGCATCTGAACTGCATAATCAGGCACCCCCGCACAGGCAGCGGAGGGACGGCCTAATTACGCTCGGGCACGCAGGCACCATTGTTAGGGGAGTTAAAGGATAAGGCTATTAGTATAAATAACCTGGAGAGCGGGGTCACGCGGGCAGCCGTGCACAAATTCCCACGGCGCACCTTTGTAATGGACGCCGCCGCATAATCTGCAATAACAAAGGCATGCGTGAGAAAGGAATTAACTTGCGGAACATCCGATTAGCATATCGAAGGCCCACGGTACGTGGGAAGGGGGTAGGGGCCTGAGTCCGGGGAATTAGGATAAAAGGGAGCGTAGCGAGGTAGAGCTCTCTCTTACTCCGAGAAGCCAGCGTCCAAGACGGCCCCCAGCTCTGCCCTCCGGACGTCCGTGCGACGTGTCGAGGCAAGCAGCGAGGAAAATCCACGGAACGTCGAGTGCCTCAAACCGGGAGTAAGGAGGTAAAAGTATTTCATGAAAGATACATCGGGAATAGGTATAAAGGTATCAGCGTAGGCCAGCCTCGTTGACTCACACTGATTTAACATCTAGTTCCAGGTAGCAGATAATAAATCATTAATAGCGAAGCGTGGCCTCGCGTGATCTTGTCGAGCAGTGTGAGCATGTGGGTGCGCGTGTGTGCACAGTGGTTCGCCACGTGAGTGAGCGCTGCGCAGAACTGAGCGCGCGGGTGAGCGTGTGTACGCAGTGGTTTTGTAGTGCTGCGGCTCGCCTCGGGGGAGCGCTGCGCAGAGCGGTGCGAGAGTGGGTGTCGCGTGTGTTCACCCCGTGGGTGATACAGGTGCGCGATCATAACGCGAGTATTCAGTGGTGAGTGAGTGCCGCGGGGAGCTGTGTGCGTGAGTGCGCATACGTTCGTTACGTGTCGGATACGGAGGCGCATTGGTAACATGGTTATTCGACGTGGAGGCGAGTGCCGCACAGGGCTATAGACGGGCACACGCTCGCAGTGTGCGAGAGCTGCACGTAGCGGTGTAAAGAGGGGGAGTGTGGCGTTTGATTGACGATACTGTGCGCACGTATGCTCGCAGCGTGGGAGCGCAGCGCGAGGCTGTAACAGTACGGGCATCGCGTTCGAATGCCGGCGAAACCGTAGCGGGTAATAGGGAGGTGGGGTAACGTAAACGGAATAGGGGATGCAGGCGGGAGGGACCCCTGGGGCCAACGGCCCCCACATATTGGTGTCAGAAACGGGACGATTCCCCGCGCCCCCAAGGGAGAGAGGCCCCCCAACCCAAGTTAAAGTAAAATGCACATTTACGGGCAAAGGGATTCCATCATGGAAATCGTTTGCATGCAGCATCAAGGGGGCTAAAAAGGTTAATGGGTGGTCAGATGAAGAGGCGTTGCAGCAGTTAGAGCTACATTTAGATGGGCGAGCAGCTGACTTTGTGGAAGCTTTGCCCGCAAGCGCACAAACTCAGTGGGAAAAATTAATGTTCCAACTCGAACGGCGCTTCGGCGCCTATGACGCGGAGGAGGCGCAGGTGGCCTTAGAGGCACGCCGCCGCCAGCCCGGCGAGGATCTGCGAGATTACGCCGAGGACGTATGCATGTTGACCCAGCTCGCGTACCCGGAGCACGAGGCGAAAGTAATTGAGAGCCTCGCCGCCGGGAAGGTCCAGCGATATTTGGCACGCACCCCGTGGTGGCAGCCAAATATAGACGGTGCACGCCTCTCCTTTAACACACTTGTCGAGCGTGCGCGTAAATGCGAGAAGCTCTCTGGTGAGCGCGCGCAGCCTCGAGGGAGGGGACGAGAGTGCGCCGTAGCGAGCCTACTCTCGGACGAGGAGGAGGAGCTCGCCATCGCAGGAAGGGGACGGGCAAGGGAGCCCCAGAGACCCAGCGAGACCACCCCGGGGTGGGTAGCCGGGTTACAGGCCGGGGTGGGAGATATGATAACCCAAGCACGCGAGGAAGCGAATCGAAATGTGAAGACCATCCAGTCTGAGATGGGTGAGCTACACTCCACAGTAGGGGGGCTGGCCGGGAAGGTATCCCAATTAGAGTCCGAGTTGGAACAACTGCGTACAGGGAGAGGGAGTGGGCAGGGGACCCACTACGGAGCGGCCACCCCTCCCCGGACGTGTTATGTGTGCGATCGGCGAGGGCATCTCAGGAGGGACTGTCCTCAGGTCGCCCGAGCTAGACAAGAGCTAAGGTCAAACTCTAAGGCCCCCCGAGAGAGGGGACCACCGGGGGGTGAAATCGACGTAGCCCCGACACAAACAAGCTGTGAGAATAATGGCGAGCGAGTGATCTCCACCCAGGTTCCAGCAACAACGCCCACAGAAACGGTGACTCCTGGCGACTGGCTACGGGAGCTAGTGGCGGGGATCACGGGGGCCACGTCGCTGGTGGAAGGGGAGGTAAACGGAGTGCGTACCCGAATCCTGTTGGACACGGGGGCGGTGGCCTCGCTCGTGAGCGCAGCGCACTGCAGCGCGATTGGGGTCGACGTGCGTTACCTGCAGGCCCTGGACCGCGCGCTGCACACGGCGAGCGGAGCCGGAATGGGGTTGCTGGGGAGAGCCACCCTAGAGGTCCGCATAGGCAGCCAGGTGTGCACCCAGGAGTTCTACGTGTCGAGTGCATTGTGTCACGAGTGTATTGCAGGTACCGACCTCTTAGAAAAGCTGGGACTCAACGTGCAACCCCGCCAGCGATGCGCCACCATGGAGAGCAACGGCGAGCGGATTCCATTCCTGGGACGAGAACCAACGCGCCCCCGCTTCGCACCTGTGGCCGGTATCCTGGCGACGGCAGTCACCATCGGGCCGCTCACCGAGATGCTGGTGCCAGTGGCAACATCCCCCACCGACCCCGCGCTCCGACCATCAGGGGAGGTAATGCTAACTCCTCACCCGGAGTTGGCAAAACGGTATGGGGTCGTGGGATCCGCCACGTTGGTAAACGCAGATGGGGACCGATTGTTTATGCGGATGTTTAACCCCCACAATACCCCAGCGATACTGCGACGGCGCACCCCGATAGCCACCGTACACCCCCTGCACGCACGCAACTCTAACGACTCGGTGTTCGCACTCTGGGCTGAGGACTCCGGTCGTCCTGAGGGTGACCAGGACCTGGCCTGGCGAGTCGGCCCGACTCCCCGAGCCGAGGTCGTCCCCCTGCTCGACGCGTTACATGTACCATGGGCGGATTTACCTAAGGGAGAGGCCGATCGGCTGCGCGAGTTACTGCGGGAGTATGCCGACGTGTTCAGCGAACACGACTCGGACGTGGGTCGGACCGACCTTGTTAAGCACCAAATTGACACCGGTGCAGCCCGACCCATCAAACTCCCTGCATACCGAGTGGGCGCACCCGAACGCGCCCAGATCAAAGAGGCGGTTGGGGACATGCTTCGCGATAACATAATTCAGCCCTCGGCGAGCCCCTGGTCAGCCCCGGTGGTACTAGTAACGAAAAAGGATGGGTCAACCCGGTTCTGCGTTGATTACCGTAAACTGAACGCAGTCACGCTCGGCGACGCCTTCCCCATACCCCGCATCGACGACACTTTTGACAGCCTCGCTGGAGCGCGATATTTTTCCACCCTCCAATCTCGCGTCCGGGTACTGGCAGGTGGAGATGGCGGAGGAGGATCGGCCAAAAACCGCATTCACCACCCCGATGGGGCTATTCGAGTTTCGAGTACTCCCGTTCGGACTCACCAATGCGCCCGCGACGTTCCAGCGGCTGATGGAGTTGGTGATGCGGGGCTTGCAATGGGAACAGTGCCTGATTTACTTGGACGATGTGAGAGTGTTCAGTAGATCTTTGTCTGAGCACTGGTCCAGGCTTCGAGAGGTGTTCCAGCGACTGCGACCGGCTCATCTCAAGCTCAAGCCACGTAAGTGTTACATCGCACAACGCGAGGTGGGGTACCTCGGGCATCGCGTCAGCGA